ACCCCCCACACCCTCCACACCCCTCTCCCACAACCCCCAAACCCCCCTCCCACAACCCTTAAACACCCCACACACCCCCCTCCCACAACCCTTAAACACCCCCCTCCCACAACCCTTAAACACCCCACACACCCCCCTCCCACAACCCTTAAACACCCCACACACCCCAAAAATTATAGATTTTACAGTAGGTTCCAAGATCTGAGCTATTTGCTGTAAAGAACACAAAATAAAAAGTGAAAAAAAAGTTGGATTAAACAAAAAATGTAGGATATTTGATGCTTTTGTTTTTTATAAGATTGAAATAAATGTTGTAGAGATGGAATCAAGTTTTTTATCAAGATTTACATATCATCTAAATCCACTGATAAAGTCTGAAATTCAAGTGGCTTTACACCTGTAGGATGTCGATTAACGAGATTCCTTCCCTCTGTTATTACCTGTGTGCACCAAAATAAACTAGTAACTGCATAAGCACTCACTTGGTCGTGGAATTTCCGGTATTTCTAAGGAATCTTCAGGGAGCTTGATAAGTGTTTGTTTATCTATACCTACAGAGTTCAAAGCCTTGTAAACAAGTTAGCACTGCATGAGGGTAGATTTAGTATATAAGATATGTGGTTTTATTAAATGTTGCAGCATTCTATAGCCTCAGAAAAATTAGGTGATGTTTTAGTCTGGAATAAATTTGATCAAATATTCAAGAAGGAAATAAAATTTAAGACCAATTTGTTTACGAAATTTTCTTGAACATGTTCAAAGCTTATAATACTTTGCTTGTGTTATTGTGGGATACTTGGATGGAGTACTGAAAATAGAAAACAGGAAGAGATGCCAAAACCTGTTTTCCCTTTTACTGTAGAGGTCATTTAATGTTTCTCAGCTCAAAACAGGTTAGAAGGGTTTATACACGTATTAATGGATTCTAAAAATACAGCTTGTTCTAAACAAAGCAACAGTAATGTAGAAATTCCTTTATTTTGTTATATACATATAAATATAAAAGAATTAGGCAGAACTTTGGTGGTCAGGTGTGACATTGGTATCAACACACTAACTCTTTAGCTTGGAGATTGCAGGGATGGAAATCCCAGATTTCATGTGTATGTTATGGAGTCATCTGCCCAGCCCAAGTACTTCCTCTGACATTTAACACCTTTCAGGGAAATTGTTTTAGGATCTGGTTTTTTTTAAATTGTCTGAATGACTTTTAGTGAAATTTAATGTTGATCTTAATATTGCTGAGTATTTCAGATGCTCCAAAATATATATTGATAATTTGTTGGGAAACTCAACTAAATGTCCATGTTAGAATATTTTATAGGTACGTGGTTTATCATCAAGCAAGATGAGACAGTTTGGTGATATAGCATGTGGTAAAGTTGTATGGTTTCTCTGAGGCAGATTTCATACACAAACAAGTAGTTAAGACAGACTGTAAGTCCTCCAACGTGACACCTAGACGTAAACAATTTGTCGTTAACTCATTTTGACAGAAACTATAATCACTTAACTATTTACCTCAGAAACTTATTTATTTTCTGTAAAAATTGTTGCTGTAGGATCGACATACAGTGGTGATGTAAACAGCATCCAGACATATTTGGCGTTGTTTTCGATCATCATTACTATATTTAGAATAAGCCTTTATTTATCAGGCAACATTTATAGATTTTCCAAACATATCAGGTCAGGCAAAATGCTTTATCCAGACACAATCCTCCTCTGTGATGTAATCAATTTCAAGGTACCGGTTCCATTTACAGCATAAGTGGTATTTGCCGTGTATATCTAGAACTTGTGTTACCAAACGTGGCTCACAGAGGAGGAAATTGTTGTTGTCTACTCCAATCACTGCTGGTATTTAGACATATACATTGAAATAAGACTTACAAAATGATGAAGGCCTAGACATGGGGTTTCAGGTATTAAGTATCTATGATAAATTAACTCCATCTCAGTATAATCTACTACAGACTTAATTTGGAGTTCCATTTCTGTCTATTTAATCATGTGGCCTGCAAAGCTGTATGAAAAAGTACCAGAAATGCAGAGAAGCAATCCTGCTATATACTGGTGTCATTTCAATGGTTAGATTTTTATGTACTTTTGTCAGTATATCAGTACTAAAATGATCAGTTCCTTTTGATTTTTAATTATTAAAGGTTGATAATTGTCCAATTGCTTCTCTCTTGCTATGCTTAGGGTATCTCGTATCTAATGTATTAATTGTCTCACATTCACATTTGGTATGTCAAAGTAATGGCCTGACACAATGGATCTGATTAATTCAAGACACTCAGATGTTCTCTAAAAAGCAGTAAACTCAGATGTTCTCTAAAAAGCAGTAAACTCAGATGTTCTCTAAAAAGCAGTAAACTCAGATGTTCTCTAAAAAGCAGTAAACTCAGATGTTCTCTAAAAGGCTTTAAATTGTGATATTATCAATAAATCTGTAAACTCAGGTGCACTCAATAAAATCTGTAAACTCAGATGTTCTCAGTAAAGCTATATACTCTGATGTTCTCAATAAAGCTATATACTCTGATGTTCTCAATAAAGCTATATACTCTGATGTTCTCAGTAAAGCTATATACTCCGATGTTCTCAGTAAAGCTATATACTCCGATGTTCTCAATAAATCTGTAAACTCAGATGTTCTCAGTAAAGCTATATACTCTGATGTTCTCAATAAAGCTATATACTCAGATGTTCACAATAAAGCTATATACTCTGATGTTCTCAGTAAAGCTATATACTCTGATGTTCTCAATAAAGCTATATACTCTGATGTTCTCAATAAAGCTATATACTCTGATGTTCTCAATAAAGCTATATACTCTGATGTTCTCAATAAAGCTATATACTCAGATGTTCTCAATAAAGCTATATACTCTGATGTTCTCAGTAAAGCTATATACTCTGATGTTCTCAATAAAGCTATATACTCAGATGTTCTCAATAAAGCTATATACTCAGATGTTCTCAGTAAAGCTATATACTCTGATGTTCTCAATAAAGCTATATACTCTGATGTTCTCAATAAAGCTATATACTCTGATGTTCTCAATAAAGCTATATACTCTGATGTTCTCAATAAAGCTATATACTCTGATGTTCTCAGTAAAGCTATATACTCTGATGTTCTCAGTAAAGCTATATACTCTGATGTTCTCAGTAAAGCTATATACTCTGATGTTCTCAATAAAGCTATATACTCTGATGTTCTCAATAAAGCTATATACTCTGATGTTCTCAATAAAGCTATATACTCAGATGTTCTCAGTAAAGCTATATACTCTGATGTTCTCAATAAAGCTATATACTCAGATGTTCTCAGTAAAGCTATATACTCTGATGTTCTCAATAAAGCTATATACTCTGATGTTCTCAATAAAGCTATATACTCTGATGTTCTCAGTAAAGCTATATACTCTGATGTTCTCAATAAAGCTATATACTCTGATGTTCTCAGTAAAGCTATATACTCTGATGTTCTCAATAAAGCTATATACTCAGATGTTCTCAATAAAGCTATATACTCTGATGTTCTCAATAAAGCTATATACTCTGATGTTCTCAATAAAGCTATATACTCTGATGTTCTCAGTAAAGCTATATACTCAGATGTTTTCAATAAAGCTTCTCAATAAAGCTATATACTCTGATGTTCTCAGTAAAGCTATATACTCAGATGTTCACAATAAAGCTATAAACTCGAATGTTTTCAGTAAAGCTGTGAACTCTGAAGTTCTCTCTAAAGCTTTAAACTCCAAAGTTCTATATAAAGCTCTGAAGTTCTCTTTAAAGTTGTAAACTCAAAAGTTCTATATAAAGCCCGGGTCAGATATATGCCCCAACCTAGAATTAACTTCTCCATTCTATAAAAGTATTCATCAGAAGTTAATGTTGTGTAAAATGAATATGGAACATAAAAACCAATCATGAGTATTAATTTCAGCCTCCATAATGACTAGCTAGGATTCCTTATAATGTATTTCTCTTAGCAACCTCTGGGAGTATCTGCTTCCAATTTCTCTCATTTCTTGCCTGGAAAATGTGTTTATTTAAACTATTTGGGTACATCATTGCTTACATTATTATCAAAACATTAAATAAATGAATGATTTATGAACCGAATGCTGTATATTGCTTATGATAATGGTGATATTTGATTTGACTCTAACTTGAGCTTTGAAGCATTTCTGGTGTTGTATTTCATAGGAAAAATGTATCATATGTGACAAAAATTGATAGAAAACCTTAAAAAATATTTGCATTATATCAGGTTTGGAGGTGTATATTCTGTTTTATCATTTTAAGCATTTTGATTGGTTGAAATTAATACTATAGGGATTGATTTTGATTTTAAATCATCTATGCATTAGTTTGGATTTTAGAAGTATATGCTTGAAAAATGGTTTCAATTATAACCATGCTACATCCTGATAAATACAATAAATAGATAGTAATGTTGTTTTATATTATAAAACAAACAATTTATCAATAATTAAAACAGTAGAGTAATAAAAGAGTCATGTAAAGTCACACATGACTGAACAACTGAAACATTGTCATCTAAAAATGTAAAATATTTTGTTTTATGAGGATAGGATGGGACAGGGGATGCTATTCACTGTACTGGCTGTTTATAAACTACATGTGATAAAGTCTATTTTTTCCAAACATGTCATACCTGTTTGGCAGTGAAAAAAGAAAGCTGAATATTTTCTGTTTGGAAGTCTTTTGCAAACCGGCAATAGTTTTTTGTTTCATAAACTCATCCCTCTTTGTGCCTTAACAAGAAATATCACAACCTCAAAATCAGCTCAGTTTAAGATTGAAAACGGATCATTCATGTAAAATTGTGTTTTTGAGTATCCAGGTTGAGAAACCGGAGTTATGACAGGAATGAAATTTAGTTGTAATGTCTTTTAAAATGATAATGGCAAAAGAGTTCTGCAGGAAGTATAATTTTATGTATCTTACTGTATTTTCAGGAGAACGGTGCCTACCCATTCTTGTCAATGTACAGATCCATAGGTTACCATGGTACCAACGATCTCTACCCATCCCCATCCATGCCCAACATATCACTAGGACGACCACCATCATCATCAGTAAGTTTCACATAAGTTATCTATCATTTTGTACAAGTATAATTGGCCAGGACTACTATAGACTTTTAGTCAGTCCCCCATCTGTACTACTGGCCAGGATTATAGTAGACTTTTAGTCAGTCCCCCATCAGTACTACTGGCCAGGATTATAGTAGACTTTTAGTCAGTCCACCATCTGTACTACTGGCCAGGATTATAGTAGACTTTTAGTCAGTCCCCCATCAGTACTACTGGCCAGGATTATAGTAGACTTTTAGTCAGTCCCCCATCAGTACTACTGGTCAGGATTATAGTAGACTTTTAGTCAGTCCCCCATCAGTACTACTGGCCAGGATTATAGTAGACTTTTAGTCAGTCCCCCATCAGTACTACTGGCCAGGATTATAGTAGACTTTTAGTCAGTCCCCCATCAGCACTACTGGTCAGGATTATAGTAGACTTTTAGTCAGTCCCCCATCAGTACTACTGGCCAGGATTATAGTAGACTTTTAGTCAGTCCCCCATCTGTACTACTGGCCAGGATTATAGTAGACTTTTAGTCAGTCCACCATCTGTACTACTGGCCAGGATTATAGTAGACTTTTAGTCAGTCCCCCATCAGTACTACTGGCCAGGATTATAGTAGACTTTTAGTCAGTCCCCCATCTGTACTACTGGCCAGGATTATAGTAGACTTTTAGTCAGTCCACCATCTGTACTACTGGCCAGGATTATAGTAGACTTTTAGTCAGTCCCCCATCAGTACTACTGGCCAGGATTATAGTAGACTTTTAGTCAGTCCCCCATCAGTACTACTGGCCAGGATTATAGTAGACTTTTAGTCAGTCCCCCATCTGTACTACTGGCCAGGATTATAGTAGACTTTTAGTCAGTCCCCCATCTGTACTACTGGCCAGGATTATAGTAGACTTTTAGTCAGTCCCCCATCAGTACTACTGGCCAGGATTATGGTAGACTTTTAGTCAGTCCCCCATCTGTACTACTGGCCAGGATTATAGTAGACTTTTAGTCAGTCCCCCATCTGTACTACTGGCCAGGATTATAGTAGACTTTTAGTCAGTCCCCCATCAGTACTACTGGCCAGGATTATAGTAGACTTTTAGTCAGTCCCCCATCTGTACTACTGGCCAGGATTATAGTAGACTTTTAGTCAGTCCCCCATCAGTATACTGGCCATATAATATTGTAGTTACTTTAGATAAATGTAGTTAGCCTTATAGTTTGGTTTTGAAGAGAATAATTAATATATCATTTTGTTTTTTAGCAGGGATCAAACAGTAACAGCTCTTCGGGGCCATCAGAATCAGACCTTCGAGCCATGGAGGCAGCTCGACACGCGATTAATCCTCTTTCTGGGCACCACATGCATGGAACACTACCATTTTATCCATCTTTACCAGGTAAGAGCTGTGTGATTAGTTGAAATTTACATTTCATAGTTAATTTCATGATGTCACTTACTTATGAATGAGGTTAGTTTATGAAATCAAAATGATTTATAATGTAATGAATAAAATCTAATATATCCCAATTGCTTGTAAACCATTTTGGTCAAAATTCTGAATTAGCAAAGAATGTGCTCAAAATTGTTTCATGTAAATTTCAAAGCTACTAATTTCTTTTTGCTTAACTAGCTCATTTTTTATACATGAGATGCTATTTTTTTAATGTGTTCAAATTTCCGATGATTATTTATGAAGATCATTCATTATTATTTCAGCTATAGATGGAGAATTTAATCCTCATACAAATCCAGCATACATATCTGCACATGTAAAAGCATTAGAGGAAGCACGCAGCCAAAGTCAGGGTAAACTACAACAGGTGCCAATGGGGGCCAATCCATACACTGCCATTCCTGGGGCAGCTGTCCCACCTGGTAGTGCTGCCTCCGAAGCTCACCAAGCACAAATACATAGGTAAGTACAGTTACAACATATACATAGTCAGGGCCATCACAGTTACAACATATACATAGTCAGGGCCATCACAGTTACAACATATACATAGTCAGGGCCATCACAGTTACAACATATACATAGTCAGGGCCATCACAGTTACAACATATACATAGTCAGGGCCATCACAGTTACAACATATACATAGTCAGGGCCATCACAGTTACAACATATACATAGTCAGGGCCATCACAGTTACAACATATACATATTATACTATATTATTTGATTAGGTTACTGCATGGTTGAGAAGGATTAGATGTTTTTTAAAACAAATTTTTTATGTACTGTAAGCAGATTTGTTTATTTGTATCATTGTATTTTAGGCACAAAAAATTAGGGCGAACTCAGTCAGCACCGTTACCCTTAGGCCATCCATACCTACAGCAGCACATCCTGCAACAACAGCAGCAACAACAGCAACAACAACAGCAGCAGCAGCAACAACAACAACAGCAGGAAAAGAAGATGAAGGAAAAGATGTTTGTAAAGCAACACATTCGCCAAGCGGTATTACAGAGGGCCAACAGTAAAACACACATGGAGAATGTAGATGAGGAAACAGAAGCCAAACTACAACAGGTAGGTGTATATATCTTTGAAAGGAAAGAAAAGTAAATAATGCACTCTGCTTCAAAAAACTGATGTTCCCTAAAACTTTTTTTTTTCTTTTTTTTCACACTTTTTGCCTTTTCCATAACCAAATGGTATTGTGTTAATTATATTAATGATTTTCTTTCTGGTTTTCAGGAAATGCGTGAAACGAGGGAACAAAATGAATGTATTGTCATCAAAGATAACAAAATGGATGACTCCTCGAGTATGGAGAAGACACCAGACCGAGAAACATTCCCTGCTCACCACCGTGAGGCTGTCCGACCACGACACAAGGGACCCTCACATCACCGCCCACTCGCACGCACACAGTCTAGCCCCCTTGTCACCTTCTCAATGCCCCCTCAGCAGCCCTCCGAGTCCAGCCCAGTTAGATATACTTTTACTACAGGTAGGTACTGAGGTTACACTACTTTTACTGACTGTTTAGCTGTATGTACTGGCTTGTAACTTTACAGATAACTTCTACTATTTACCCTATCTACAGGGCAAGTTACCTCCTTTCGATTATCTCCCTTTATGCATCAGGGTGAACAGAACAAGTTACCTTCACTTTAAAGTATATTTTTTTCTGTTCCAATCAAGTTACTTCCTCTTTATATATCCATGACAAAAAATTTCTTCAAATTACATGAATAACTCATGTGTCTTTTCCTTAAATTATTTCCTTTTTTTTCAGATTGTTTGGAAAAAGTTACCTCCCCTCATTTGTTAGATTCAACAACTGATATTATAGAATATTACTGAATTGGTAGAATATTTAATAGATACATGTTGTCGTTCAAGTGAAGGCTACAAAGAATATTTAACTTTATTTACTTGAATTTTGCTAACAAAAAGTCTTTCTTTTGTATATAAACAGGGTTAGCATATGACTCTATCATGCAAAAGCATGAATGTACATGTGGCAACAATGCCAACCATCCCGAGCACGCTGGTCGCCTACAAAGCATCTGGTCTCGTCTCCAGGAACGGGGTCTCAACACGCGCTGTGAGGTATGTGAACTTATACTACATGCTAAATTAGATGATACAGGCTAATTAGACCTCTTTCTTATTTCAAGTCAGCCATCATTTTAGGACATAGTTTGGAAAATTCCTTTTTGACCATTTCAAACTGAAAATGACGAAGATTGTCAGAAAATTTTTTTGATTGGTTTTGTATTTTCATTTATTTATCAATTTATTTATTTGTTTACTTCTTTAATTCTTGAATTCTTGTCAACAGAGAATAAAAAGTCGTAAAGCTACAATGGAGGAATTAAAGAGTTGTCATACAGAGGCCCACACATTACTGTATGGTACAAATCCCCTGAACAGACAGAAACTTGATCCACGCTTATTTGGTATGTGTTCCTATTTGGATGATCTCCTTGCCCTTAGTTTTGTTTAGTTTAAAAAAATCAAAGAATTGTTAGTCATTAAAGAAATTTTATGAATTATTTACAAGTATTTACTGACTAGTTATGTATAAAGGACTAATAAAGAAATGTGATACTGTCACCACTTGGTACGATATATATATAGGGGATTATTAATACCATCAGAATACCATCAGAATATAGCATTGCAAAAAAAAAAAGAAAAAAAAAAGAAAAGAAAAAAGTTTCACAGTTTTGTTCAGCGGAATAACTTGGTCATTATGGTTATATAAACTAAAGTAAAAACATCAGGTATAAAGACCAACAGTTTTCTATAATATCACTGCATGTACTTGTAAAGGATAATTCTAAATTCTTACAAATACTGATGTTTTATCTCTAATTGGTTCAGTGAATGAATAGAAGATGCATATAAACAAGCAATTAGATTTTCTGTATGAAATAGTCAACTGTGCTCTGTTGTCATGAAATATGGTCTTTGGAATGATTTGTTTTCAAAATTAAAAAAACATTTTTGAATACAAGAATTTTTAGGGACTCAGATATTCCAAGACTTCATAAAAAATGAAAAAAAAATCTTGGAATGCTTTTTATCTGAAAAGGACAGGAGTGATTCAATGAGCTTTACAGGACTTTGGTTGTGTTAGTCTGTTGCTGTGACAACGTTTAAACAGGCTTGTTTTTGTCATCGCTATAAACATAGACATCTGATTCCAGTCTTACAAGGAAGTTATCGTAGAAGGAAGCCATCTTTAATTGTCACATTAATGATTTCTTAATTCTTATTCATTCATATGATACAATTTCTCTTCCTTGTCTTCTAACACGGGGATGTTGAAGAGACCAAAATTGATCTTCTGCCCCCATCTGTTTCATCCATGTTTTTTTCTGTTGTAGAAAATTCTCGATTTTGTTTGTTACCATGCGGAGGTGTAGGGGTGGATTCTGATACTGTCTGGAATGAACTAAACACATACATTGCCGCAAGAACAGTGAGTGTGACTTCTTTAAATTGTCAGAAATTCTGTCGATTTGGACCCATTGAACTTGATTGAGTCCAGTCTGAATGTGTGACATGTTTATAAGGTTTTAGTGATTTTGTTAAAGTGTTACATCACAACCTGGCTGTAAGATTCTGGTTACTGATCACACAAAGTCTATCATATTAGTGAGCTTCTTTATTGATTAGCTTGTTAGTGCCCAATTTCCTTCCAACAGATATGTTTGTGGTAAGAAGGCTGAAACAGTAACAAACTCAAACAGTACTGTCTCGCCATCCATCCCCCCCCCCAAACACATGGATCTTACACTCATTTTCTTGAATGGCTATACAATGCTGAGTTGAACATTTTGAAATCAAGAAATTCTCGTGTCAAATGCTTAATTGTTGAATTGAGAGATTTATTATAAAATCATTCTAAGTGCTTCCTAATGATATTGAAATATTTTTCCATGAAGAAAATTTCATAATCATTATCAGTATAGAATGGAGATAGCCTTTTTATGTTCTGTTGTTATTTTAACCTACATTAAGTTTTAATGTTTTGTCACCATTTTTTTTATTTAATATTGTGACAAACAAACATTAAATTTTGTGGCATCAAAAAACAAACAAATAAAAACAGCTGTTTAATAAATCGTTCTTATTTAAACGGTGAACTAAATTGATAAAGTCGATATCGAGTTACATGGTCATGTCTTTCATTACAATTTTTTTTAGCTGTTGTATTGATTTCCTGTCAGAGTAAGTGGTCCCATACAAATAGTTTTTAAGGCCAATAGTAATTATACGTCCAGGGGAGGTCACTAGCCACAGTGTTAGGTCATGCGATGGATTGTACGATACAGGATGGCCATATGACAACTTTTAAGTCTAAACAGAAACATAAATTATTGATGATTGCAGCCTTTTCAAAGCTGATAACTGTAATTACTATCAGATATACATAGATCATGCCTGTTTTTACATGTTTTCATGCGTTCTGTTGTCACAATTGCTGAAGGCTGATTGGTGTTTTGTTGTTGAAAAGGATCAGGCCACTCTGCATCATAACAACCACAAATGAGTTTGATGAGAAACATGAAAAAAGAAATATTTTTAATTTTTTGATGAGTTCAGTGCTGATTTAATTTAATTGTGTTATGTAGATGAATGATTAAATGAGTATTTCACTTCGAGAAGTACAACTGTCAAGTACATTTGTCTCAGTAATCAGGAGAAGACCTTTCGAAACATAAATAGAAGATTCATAGTACCATATTTATCCAGTAATAAGCCCATGCCTGGTAATAAGCCCACCCATTTCTATTGACGTTCTTTAGAATTAGCTGACAACCATCATGTCAATATCCCATAGTAATCCTACCTTCAAAATTTCCATATTGGTTTACTGGTCTGATTGCAAGATAAGCTAAAGGTGTTTTACAACAGTGAATCAATGATTATCATTCTTAGTAAATTAATAGAAATTTAGAGTATTTATTCTGATATAATCCGGGCTGACATTTTGACCTCTGACTCCAAAATCCTGGGATGGGCTTATTAAAGGGCATTCAAACAATAAACATTTTACTTCAGCACATAGAGGATTGGTGTATTGTACAAGTATGAAATATTTTTTGTTGAATTTCCACTAAATAGTGATAGCTGCAGGTAAGGATCGACATAATTCTAAGCACTAGGTTATATCGTAGGAATTATATTAACTTACTCTCTAGTTTAAATTTTATTGATATTGTTGTGAAAATGATGGGAAAACAGGTTGCATTTTCCCTAATGATGGCTTATGATTGTTAAAATGAATCTATGTTTCATGTTACTGTCAGAAAGAAGTACAGCTATAAGACAGAACGGTATTTTCTCTTGATTAATGGGGAATAGTGTTATTTATCAGTGAAATATGTTCTCAGTAAAGAGAGAGATTATCATTATATTTACACTCAGTGGCCATAATGATGTCCCTAATTGGTAAATAATTTACTCTCATTTACTCCAGCAAAAAAAAATTATCAGAATATCAAATATATAACTTATCAGAAAAGTTGTTAAAGTACATCTGACTTCTCCCACTGGATCAGAGACTAGGGATAGAGCTACAAGTTTTTAGATGAACAAGTTTATTTCTACATTATGTATGCATAAGCAGTTTCTTTATACAAAACAGAAAGTACATGTTACCTCTAATCGTAGAAATCTTGTAAGTATAGATTTTATAATATGAATTACATAACAATCTGGTGTAGATAGTTTCAGTTATACCTCAATACAAATGAGCACAATATGTATACATGCAAACCTGCTGAACACCAGTGTGCATGATTGCTATTACTAAAAAAAAAATTAATACCATTTCATTGCCAGCCCCAAACAGGAAATGATTTGGTTATATCAAAGATGTGTTCAGTAGTGTTTTGTAACAAACATGTGGGTTGGGCTCAAATTTATTCTAGATTATAACGGGATTTTATGGAAAGAGAAAAATATTCCCAACTATAACATGACTTTACTATTAACTGTACTTTGAGCTATTAGTAATTTTTAAACGTGTAAGTTTTTTTTCTATCGATTCTGGCCGGGCAAAAGAGCCTGTAGCTGTTGTTTAGCACCAGAAGTAACTACCACCGATTACTATCGATTTACAGGAACATGGTGATCCCCCAGTATATGTTGCTGTTACTAATTATAGCAGTGCAGGTCAGAGTCGTCAGATAGTACATCTGTGACTCATTAGAATCGACAGTATTATATAGACTGTTTAATAACGAGTAATATCACTGTTCTGATGGCATTTTATGAGATTTTATCTTGTTTTATGACCTTACGAGACGTGTAATTGTGAAATTTCTTCATTGGTTGTTCTTAATATGGTATTCTATCAGTTTCTAATCACTTCAATAAATGGTATAATACTTTATAGTTATAGGTATATGATCTTTTGATAGTTTTTAACATGGAATATGGCCTTACATTATGGGAGTTTGTAGACATATGTAGTTTTAATGAGATTTTGTAATCACATTTACAAACCTCATGAGATGTATTACAGAATCATTAAAATGGTGGTATGTTTTTATCTGATACAGATATGGGATGTTATGACGTATTTCATACATTCGTAAATATTTACACGATTTATTTGTTTGTTGAAGTTGGTTTTGATTATTATGATGATGTTGAACTAACAGAAGGTCATGGTGTACAATTTTATCACTGATTGTAAGTGTTTGTGTTTTTGTCCTGATTCAAAGTCATGGGCTTATTACACGACAATTAAGTAGCATTTGTTTCATTGAATGGTAATACAGATGATTGGGCTTATTACATGACATGGACTTATTGTATAACTATGAGTGTAAACTTGGTAATAGGCCAATACCCATGTCTATTATAGTACAGGAACAGTGCTAAAATACCATGTCCTTATCCAGCAACATACTCCCTCCTCTTCCTAATTTTATTCAAATTTGTTGTATTGTGCCTCTGCTTATTACAAGATAAGTTAAGTTCCCAGCTCTGAGAGTTGTGACAGATGGTCCAGGGTACTGGATATGGGAGAAGTCAATTTCCTCGGAACACCCACACTTACATCTGGAAATGACCTTTTGAAATTGAATTCAAAATTATATTTGTATGGATCAGTTATAAATACAGCCTCCCCCATGTAGAACTTCATATAGAGATTAAATCTGCAGTTTTTCATCGAGTGAAATTGACCTCACGAGGGAATATTTTCAATCTCTGTCCTTTTAAAAGCAGTGTATTTACCATACAGGGAACATTTTATTGAAGGTACCTGTCTTTCCTCATCAACAATATAGTATTATTGAATTTCTGTACAATATGAAGTAAAACATGGGGCTTATTATGTTATTGTAAAAAAAAATAGACTCTTTGTCGTTTAGTGAAAAAAAAAGTTTCCGTTTTGGATGACCAGTAACGATGTGAAATGTTTTGTGTAGATGATATATACTTACAAATGATGACAATAGCATTGACAGTAATTGGTATATATTCATGAAATGTAATCAGCCACACTAGGAGAATAGAATTTCCTATTGTCTTTTAAAAGAAATATAAGTACAGCCAAGTTTTGCTGTTTAATGATTTATTGGGTGTCCATCGTCAGGGCTATTTTTTTTGAAAACATGTTTATGGTTTTTCCTGAGTCCTAGATAATTGTGGTTTGTCCAGCATTAAGGTTAGCAGTATTGATTTTTTGATGCAGCCTATGCCACTGAGAGCTTTTAGAACTGTATTTACAATGAAACATTCAATAAACACATCAAGTGAGGTCAAAGTGACCATGTATGTAGCGTTTTACTCTAAAACTCAAATGAGGACAGTTTTAAAGAATGCTATCATTAACTGAAAGCAACAGGTGAACTTTATTCTAAATTAGTTCATGTTTACAGGGTGAAATGAGGTGTTATTGTCGAAAAGATGAGGCATAGAACAAAATGAATATAGAAAATCTTCATATGATTATTAAATTATAATCATTTTTGTTTTTCTCTATTTCAAAAAGAATTAATATTTGGTTTGATTTACAGGCGGCAGGATGTGTGACAGAGTTAGCTACCAGAGTGGCCTCTGGGGAGTTGAAGGTAAAAAAATGGCAATATGCAGTCCATTATTGTATATAAGCATGTCTATGATACAGTAACGAAAAAGAAATTCCACATATAAACAGAATCATAATTCAAATACAAATTTGATAAACATACGACAAATTCATAATGAAATTAAGATTTTTAAGAAAAGACAAGCATTATAAGACCAAGTATTCCAGAAGGGTGAGAGGTGACACCCACTATACAAATCTTCATTTTCATGGAAGCTCAATGTTTTCTCTATTTCTGTTATAAAATTTTATCATATATAAATCAGTTCCTTTCAACATCTAATAACACCTTTGTTATTTTATTCAGAATGGTTTTGCCATCGTTCGACCACCTGGTCACCATGCGGAATCTCACCAAGCTATGTAAGTATATATAAAATTTGGAGTTCTTTTGTGTTGAAATCTCTATTAGGTTTCTGATGATTTACCTTTAGTTGCCATCAGAGCCCTCTTTTGATGTCTCTGTCATTCAAAACATATGCTTCCTTATTTGCTTTCAAACACTCCATTGGCCTTGTAAGTCATGGTTATCGATATATCGCTGTATTAGTTCAGTCAGCAGAGTGTTGGTCTGTGATACCTCTGTTGAAGTTTTGAGATGTGTGGTTCAACACTCCTTACCCATAGTTATTTAGGTTTCTCTCTGGAAGCTGAGAAACCGAACCATCTCTGTTGATATAGTTGTGTCTTTGGGCAAGACACTTTACTGTAATTCTTGTTTGTTATTCAGTGAGGTAACCAGACCCTTCAAGGAGATCCAAGCTCAGAACTAACTCGTGCTGTACAAGGAGCGTACTTCATCATTGAAATAATCTTAACTTCATTGATCTACTTTTCAGGGGTTTCTGCTACTTCAACTCCATAGCTATAGCTGCCAAGCAACTGAGGGAAAAATGCAAACTAGAAAAGATTCTAATTGTTGATTGGGTATGTACTATGTGGACAGTATATGGTAAAAGGGAGGTAACTGTTAGATATTTTTATATGGTGTTAATTACATAACACAAGGGAAGTAACTCCTACATTTTTAAAGAGAAAAACTAACTAACTCTATCATAAAAAATTTGCTTTTTAAATAAATTGGAATCCTAATTTGGAAAGGTGTCGTATAGATGATAATATTTTAGAGACTTCCTTCCACAGTACAACACCTTGTTGTATCAGTAGCCAAGTTTTCTGCTAGTGTCAAATACAATATACATACTTCTTGCCAAATATTTTTGAACATTTTCTGAATTTTGATTATTGAAACTTATAGTGAACTCTTGATATGTTTTCCAGGACTTAATTGATAATAATAAGACTGGGCTTTCCATGATTTTGATTAGTTGTTTTTTTGTTTCAGGATGTACACCATGGAAACTCAACTCAGCAGATGTTTTATAGTGATCCCAATGTCTTGTATATTTCAATGCATCGTCACGACAACGGCAACTTTTTCCCAGGCACTGGCTCACCTGGAGAGTGTGGGGAGGGAAAGGGCCTTGGATTTAATGTCAATATTGCCTTCGGAGGCGGTTTGAACCCACCCTTAAAAGATGCAGAGTATCTGGCAGCATTTAGGTGAATGGTCATTTGTGTTTCTACAAGTGGCTTTTAATTCAAGAGAAAGTGAGGTTTCAGTTCAATTTTTAGATAGTGAAATTCTTTTTTTGAATTTTTTATCTTTTTAAAATTAATTCTGTAATTTTCTCTTTCAGAACGTTAGTGATGCCAATAGCTAAGGAATTCCGGCCAGAAATGGTTTTGGTATCGTCAGGATTTGATGCAGCGGTAGGTCACGCAGCTCCGCTTGGTGGATATGAAGTCTCAGCTGGATGTATGTATCAATTTACTTAATAGTGTGTTTCCATTTGTATCGTTGAACTCTGAGGTTGGAAAGCATTTCAAACACATGGGTCTTTACTCTAAAAGAATAATTTGTAAAAGAATATGATAGTTTAGAATCTGGTTGTCAAATGATGTATGAACTTTGATGTGAACTTCTTAATTAAAGGCTGAGTGGAAGAAAGCTCAAAATTTGTATTTTCATGTGTAGAATAGCGAGTTGTTGATCTAAAAATTTCATGTTTTGTTAATTGGTAAATAATTTGTCAGACTTCTATGTTACATTAAGAACTGTGTTAAATTTTCTACAAACATTTTATTTTACAGGTTTTGGTTACATGACACGAGAGTTGATGGGTTTGGCTGATGGGAAGATCATATTGGCCCTAGAGGGAGGATATGAACTCACAGCCATTTGTGACTGTACAGAGATGTGTGTGAAGGCACTCCTAGGAGAGGAAGTGAGTATCCTATTGGTCAAATTTAAACAATAATACAATAGCTTTAAACATTTTGTATTATTGATAATTCCATCATAGATTCATAATTTTGTTGAGACTTAAGAAACATCAAGGTTATTATTTTTGTATATGGTAGCCTGGATCAAGTTGTCACTCAAATGCTATGTGTCACTTTGGTTGAAGTTTTTCTCTTTGAACCAAGCTGTGACTTGACTGTAGGAACCAGGTGTCACTCAGGATTAAGTTTCAAGTTGTTGCTTATTATCAGAAAAGGGTTTCCTTGTTATTCAACTATAACTTTTAAACCCATACTACATCCCATGTGCTTCACTAACTTACAATTATCACTTATCATTTTCAAACTCTCAGAATCTTGAATGGGTCCAAAGAGCAGTTATTGATAGTTTAAACTCTAAGAAGATAGTCTAATTTGACTACTGAACAAATAAACCATTTGATTCACAGCTGCCACCATTAAAAGAGGAGGAGCTACAAAGGTCTCCATGCCAGGCAGCACTGGAAACATTAGAGGAAGTCATCAAGATACAAGGTGGGTAAAACACATATGTCAAGGTCATCATAGTGTTATGTCAGGGTCATCATAGTGTTATGTCAAGGTCATCATAGTGTTATGTCAAGGTCATCATAGTGTTATGTCAAGGTCATCATAGTGTTATGTCAAGGTCATCATAGTGTTATGTCTATGTCATCAAAGTGTTTGTCAGGGTCATCATAGTGTTATGTCTATGTCATCAAAGTGTTTGTCAGGGTCATCATAGTGTTATGTCTATGTCATCAAAGTGTTTGTCAGGGTCATCATAGTGTTATGTCAAGGTCATCATAGTGTTATGTCAAGGTCATCATAGTGTTATGTCAAGGTCATCATAGTGTTATGTCAAGGTCATCATAGTGTTATGTCAAGGTCATCATAGTGTTATGTCTTTGTCATCATAGTGTTATGTCAAGGTCATCATAGTGTTATGTCAAGGTCATCATAGTGTTATGTCAAGGTCATCATAGTGTTATGTCAAGGTCATCATAGTGTTATGTCTATGTCATCAAAGTGTTTGTCAGGGTCATCATAGTGTTATGTCTATGTCATCAAAGTGTTTGTCAGGGTCATCATAGTGTTATGTCTATGTCATCAAAGTGTTTGTCAGGGTCATCATAGTGTTATGTCTATGTCATCAAAGTGTTTGTCAGGGTCATCATAATGTTTTGTCTTTGTGATCATAATGTTATGTCTTTGTCATCAAAGTGTTTGTCAGGGTCATCATAGTGTTATGTCTATGTCATCAAAGTGTTTGTCAGGGTCATCATAGTGTTATGTCTATGTCATCAAAGTGTTTGTCAGGGTCATCATAGTGTTATGTCTTTGTCATCAAAGTGTTTGTCAGGGTCATCATAGTGTTATGTCTTTGTCATCATAGTGTTATGTCTTTGTCATCATAGTGTTATGTCTATGTCATCATAGTGTTTGTCAGGGTCATCATAGTGTTATGTCTATGTCATCATAGTGTTATGTCTTTGTCGTCATAGTGTTATGTCAATGTCATAATAGTGTCATGTCAATGTCATCATAGTGTTTTGTCATGATCAATATATTTAGTTCAAGAAAGTTCATACACAAAGCTCTTGATTGAATATGGTAAAAGGTCTCCCTACTTTATAATAGCTTGTATATTCTGACCCTTCTCTCTAATCCATTGCAGCCAAACATTGGGTGTGTGTAGAGCGCCACCTTGCGTCAGTACGGTGCTCGCTGGTTGAAGCACAGAAGCAGGATGTGGTGGAAGCCGATACCGTCACAGCACTCGCATCATTGTCCATGGTTGCAGCAAAAAGAAGGTAAAGTCTAGTTGATTTTATCAGATATTTAGCTTGCGCTCATCCTATGTTTTTACAAATTTCAAATTTGTAATGAAGGTATCAATCTAATGGTTTATCGTTTTCAAAATTTTATAACTGTGGTTTTTTTTTCCTTTTCTCACTGCTAATATGTAATTGATTATGATTTATGTAAAAAATTTCCTTTGATCAATAATTTAGTTTCTTTTTTTCCCTCCAGTGATTCTGCGGAACAGGAGTCTGAACCAATGGAAGACGAACAATCTTAACAGTTGATCACTTGCAGTTGTTACACATGAAGTCCAATACCATTGGTTGTTGTGTTGCCTTGAAGACGACCTTCTTGACGACCTGTCATGAAGCGGTCAGTCACTTGTTACAATCAGCTGCGGGTCGGCGTTTTGTGGCATGGTGGTAGAGCTTTGTGGCAGTGGTGATGATGCCCCCTGGTGGTGCTTTGATACACTGAACGAGTCAAGAGGCAATTAATGTCAGTGTTGTAGCCTTAGAATCCACATGGTGGATTTCCCAGAGAAACCCCTGGCAATCCAGTGAGTTGTCTACCCTGAAGTGATTTTTTTTGTGGAGTTGTCTCCCCTCTCCCAAGCTTTTTTCAAAATGTTTGATATTGTTATGAGAGAGATAAAGTACACATCACCATGATTTATCTTTCAGAAAATGTGTATATTGTACAACGTGTTGACCGGAACATACACAGGACTTTTTATTGTTGTATAAAGACACCACAGAGTGTGTTACCTGTTGTTGTTCTATGCTGTTAAAAGTTGTTAAAAATACTGACCGGTGTATTTGTACAGAATGAATGAACAGTGACCGCCTGCCGTGTACAGTGGAGCTCATCTCCTGTGTTGTTGGTGCGGGAGGAGACACCTGTAATCAGGAGAGTTCTGGTGCAATTTGTGACTGTGATAGCATGTTATATAAGAAGTTACACATCCCATCATATTACATTGTATTTGATTGGTTAATCAATGTCACCTGACATGAGAAAGTTATTGCGATTGGTTGATATGATCATGGTGTTAGATTGATACAATTATTTTTTGAACTACTGATTACATCGTCACCCTGATGAGAGAATTTATTTTGAACAATTCTTTCACGATGCCATATGACTTAATTTTGTCTTCATTGACGGAGGTTTGGTATCTTGTGATGTTGGATTTTTATAAGATCTCGAAAAGAATAACAGCAGATATGTCGGTATAGTGATTTTTTTGAAAGTTCATTTCTATAGACTTTTTGAGACTTTAAAATATTGCAATGAACATTAATGATTTGTCAAACAGATTTTATTGTTGTGTTAGTTATCTACAAAGATCTGAACAGGAATGTCAAGTCTTTTATCCCTGTTGGTGTCTTTACTGTATAGAATATATTCATCTTTGCATTGTGTGTTGTTCGGTGACCTATGTTTAAAACTCTGTTAAATTTAGATTATGTCTTGTACAGTATTGAAATAGTGATATATAATTGATGTTTAAATTTATTCTATAGAGTTGATGTTAGATTTTAAATTTAAAATGATTAAGTTTCACTGTTTGATTTTTTTTTTTTTTCTTTCATTTTGACTTTAATTTTTTTTTGGATAGATTCAGACTAGATATGATTAAAGAAATATTTGAGAAAAAAAAGAATGTTTTGATGTTGTGGTATTTAGGTTATCAGATTTCTGAGTATTCTTCAATCATTTCTGTATATATTTTATCAGAAGACTTTGTCTATTGGGAAAATACTCCAGTAGGCTAAATATTGTTTGTCTGTTTTTTCACAAGTCACAAATTCACCGATGCCTTTTTCATTCTAATCGTGGTGTTTTCGCTTTGGTCTCATCAACTCATGTTTTGATCTTACAATGGAAACAGTCTTTAAGAATTTTTTGACATTTTTGATGATGAAAGTAAAAGAAATTTTACATATAAATATTATATATATATATTTGAGATATAGTAATTTGTTGGTTGTTAAGCGTTGTATTTTGTAGCGTTGTTTTGGTTATCTTAGTATATTGTGACAACATGTGACCGTAAGTCACATCATTGACGACTGCGGTCAGACATTTTTAACAGACACACCCTGCTGTCATTAAGGGTCGTGGAATTTTTAGACAACCCACATGATGTTTTTGGGTTAAATGATTTGAAATTGGATTTTTGTTGAAAATTGAATAGCAGAGGAATTAAAAAATTCTTCACAGTTTGAGTAAAATTTTGTTCTTTTAAAACTTTTGTATTTGCAAAAAGTGCATTTATATTTTGATCCTATAAGCGAAAAGATATAAAAATGTTTTTTCCCTCTCATACTGGCATTTCAACCAACCAAAGATTGAAAATAAGATGTTTCATTTGAAACATGTTTCTGAGTCAGCAAAAGAGCTTGGACAGTTCAAATGTGTTCTTCTCAAAACTCATTCACATGTTCTTTATGTCTGTAAATTCAGTATTTTAAGATTGCTGGATTTTTCAATGAGAATTTTTTCTTCTTTTTCAAAAAGACAATCTTCATTATCGAGACACTCCTTTTCTATAATTGCTTGGCAATTAATTAAACACAATGTATTAATCAATTTCCTGCGATCAAAAAAGTTAATTTTTCAGCCAAGAAATGAGCCTTCTTAAGAATCTGATTGTTTGATTTTGTTGACAGATTTTACTGCAGAAAGCCCCATCTCCTCTCCTTAAGAAACGAGAAGAAAAGATAAACTAAAATTTGGGTTGGGCTGGGAGGATGATAATAAAACTTTTTCATGTAAAGTATCTTTTACCAATCTGCTGGTGTTTATGACCTTATATATCTATATTTAAAATCAAAGGAACATTTAATAAGGCTGAAAATTGTTCACCCATTGATAACCAGTGTAAAGATCGTAACACTTGTAACGGTAGTGAAATATTCTGACAAAAGAAATTACTGTCAAATCTGCCTTAAAATCTAAAATACAACTTTATATAACAGTTATTTGTCTGTTTAGGAAATCTCTACATAAAAGACACCTGTCAATAAAGTACAACTTTATATAACAATTATTTGTCTGTTTAGGAAATCTCTACATAAAAGACACCTGTCAATAAAGTACAACTTTATATAACAATTATTTGTCTGTTTAGGAAATCTCTACATAAAAGACACCTGTCAATAAAGTACAACTTTATATAACAATTATTTGTCTGTTTAGGAAATCTCTACATAAAAAAATACCTGTCAATAAAGTACATCTCTATATAAAAATACTTGTCTTTAAAGGACACATCAATAAAGGAAAAAAATACCTGTCTATAAAGGACACATCTATATATAAAATACCTGTCTATAAAGGACACATCTATATATAAAATATCTGTCTATAAAGGCCTCTTTTTTTTAAGGTTCCAGTGTTATACAATTCAAATCAATAGAACCTCCTTACAAAGGCTGTTATTGTTGGATATTTTGAATGATCTGTATTAACAGGTCCTTTGCTATAGATAACACTGAAATTTTTAATACACACCAGTGGGAGTTTTACAAAGCTATGTACATATCGGCCATTCAGAAAATGTCACATTCATTCATGTGTTGGGAACAATTTTCTATGGAATATTAATCTACACTTTACACTTTTTCTGTAATTAGTGTTTTAAAGAACTGCAGGTTGAAGTTTTTAATTCTGAAAGATTTTTTTCATTGAAATATCTTCTCAAAATTGTTGTAATGGTTAATGTATTTTGTGATATTGTATTCACAATACATTCAATCATTTTTATATCATTGTTCAATAAAAATCAATGTAGAATGAATTTGAGAAAAAGATTATACCTTAAAATGAAATTTTTTAACCTGAATTGTTGATGAAATTTAGCACTATTTTTTCTCCAAGTTTTAGATCCTGATTTTAGCATGGAAATGTAAGTTTTGATGGGCATCAAGTAATTATAATTAGGCAAATCAACCCTCACTGCCAATTCCAAATTTTAAGTATAAAATTTTTCATTTTAAAACTTGCACTTGTTCATCAAATAAGGTGCAGAAATTGTGAACCTAATAAATAAATTATACACCAGGCTTAAGATTAAGTCAATGAATGATATATTTGTCATGGAATTGAATCTTACATACAACTGCAATATGTTTTCTGTAAATGCATTTGACATGGTTACAATGCGACACCGTTCCATTTGAATTTGGATTGTTTATAGTCATAAATTTTGACATTTTTCAACAGTCATATAGATATTTTAGTAATTATCTTTTCATCACTTGTAATTTGTTACAGTGTATTTCTTTCACATGATTAAAATAAATGTAGCAATATTCTTAAAAACAAACTTTTCTTTTTAAATTCATGTTTTTAAAATTTACACGTGTGCCTGAAAGTGGGATAAATAAGTATTTATTGTGTACAGGTAGTGATTGTACAATTACCAGCCAAACTTTCCCTCAGCTTTTATCTGTTGTATAGTGTACAAAGAAGCCATCAAGCAAATTTTCCTATTAGTTTGTGTTGTCCATGTTGTAATTTGGCCAAATGTCTTTGGGTTTATTTAGTTATTGTATTTTTTTTCTCTTTCTCTCTCACTTGTTGAAATTCAAATTGATTTGATTTTGGAAATTTTTTTTTTTACAAAAGCATGTATTGAAAACTACAAAAGTCATGTGAAAATTTGTGATTAATTTTGGGTATTGAAGTATTTTTTTATGGATTTTTGGGTTTCTTTGTAAAAGTTGTTGTAATGGTATTTATTGATGTGCATAAAGATGGCAAAATGAAAGTATTAATTATAGTTTCTATTGATATTTTTGTCATAGAATCATATGCTTCTCATTTCCTCTTTCTAGAAAAAATATTGCCAGCCAAAATATTTTCATTTCTATTTGACTTAATTCATATGTATATTAATACATGTGATTTTAAAAATTCTAACATTTCTTTGTTCTGAAAACTTAGTATTCAACAATTCATTATACATGTACATCACTGTTTTTGGAAGTTCTTTAGAAATTCTTCACAGTGGTTGAAACAACCATTATCTAAATTTCATGAGAAAGGGTAATGTTTCTCTGAAGTGTCGGCCGCACTTTAACTTTAAGTAACATTTGATGAAAGTCCTTTCTAGTATCTGCCAGTCGGTGTAAAATAAGGAAATAAGCATTTTTTATTCTTTTATTTATTTTTTTCTAAGACAGATAAATATCTTGAAAATAATTCTCCCATAAATCATTTCCTCGGAAGCATTTAAATTTCAGCTATACTAGTTGACAGTTTCATTCCATGCGGCAGACATCATTATGGTTCCTTTTTTAATGCTTGTAGGGAAAAGGATGTCAAGAAAGGAGTTTCCTAAGATTTTACATATTCCTAGATTAGATCCAGCAATTAAAAATAAGTCTCATTAACTTAATTTATTGGAATACTCATCAAATTCAAATGTCATGTAAATCAATGATTAACATATCTAAAGTAATCTGCTGACTTCATGGTGTTTTTTATAAAGTATAAACATGTAGAATTCATTGTTCTTTACACTTCAAGATCATGACGAAATGACATATATATGTATATATACGCATAGCTAAAGACATAATCTATAAACTTAAAGGTCACAACCGATTTAAAACAACAAATAATTGCATTTTTTACCACGTTTATTTCAAGATGTTCCTGCAAATTCGTATTTGAAGTATATATGATAAGCCTTTGTTGGAAAGTAGTGCTATGTTTTATATACAATGCTATGTCTCTTGTTTTATTATAATGTAAAAATTCTTGTCATAATTTGTGAAGTAAACAAATGTGTTTACAGTCATCAATTTCTTGTGTTTTTCTTTTAACTTTGGGTAAATAGAACATGTCCTAAAATGGATTTATATTCTGGAAGAAGGTATGAAGTACCTGTCCTAACAGGTATTTATGTACCGGTACAAGGTATATGATACCTGTCCTAACAGGTATTTATGTACAGGTACTAGGTAAATAGTACCTGACCTAACAGGTATTTATGTACAGGTACTAGGTATATGATACCTGTCCTAACAGGTATTTATGTACCGGTACAAGGTATATGATACCTGTCCTAACAGGTATTTATGTACAGGTACAAGGTATATGATACCTGTCCTAACAGGTATTTATGTACAGGTACTAGGTAAATAGTACCTGACCTAACAGGTATTTATGTACAGGTACAAGGTAAATAGCAACAGTCCTAACAGGTATTTATGTACAGGTACAAGGTAAATAGCACCTGTCCTAACAGGTATTTATGTACAGGTACTAGGTAAATAGTACCTGTCCTAACAGGTATTTATGTACAGGTACAAGGTATATGATACCTGTCCTAACAGGTATTTATGTACAGGTACAAGGTAAATAGCACCTGTCCTAACAGGTATTTATGTACAGGTACAAGGTAAATAGCACCTGTCCTAACAGGTATTTATGTACAGGTACAAGGTATATGATACCTGTCCTAACAGGTATTTATGTACAGGTACAAGGTATATGATACCTGTCCTAACAGGTATTTATGTACAGGTACTAGGTAAATAGTACCTGTCCTAACAGGTATTTATGTACAGGTACAAGGTATATGATACCTGTCCTAACAGGTATTTATGTACAGGTACAAGGTATATGATACCTCTCCTAACAGGTATTTATGTACAGGTACAAGGTAAATAGCACCTGTCCTAACAGGTATTTATGTACAGGTACAAGGTAAATAGCACCTGTCCTAACAGGTATTTATGTACAGGTACAAGGTATATGATACCTGTCCTAACAGGTATTTATGTACAGGTACAAGGTATATGATACCTGTCCTAACAGGTATTTATGTACAGGTACTAGGTAAATAGTACCTGTCCTAACAGGTATTTATGTACAGGTACAAGGTATATGATACCTGTCCTAACAGGTATTTATGTACAGGTACAAGGTATATGATACCTGTCCTTATACAGATTGAAGTCCTTGCAATGGTGGATAGTAACATAACAACAAACAATAGATAACCCCTAGAGTGATTGTCTGAAAGAATGGACAAGGAAAAACTGAAAATTGTGAACTTGTGAACAATTTAGATAGTATTTCAGAGGGAATAGTTCCTTACACTTTAAGTCAAATAAATATTCTTGCCAAGTCTATGGTCATATCTGTTTTTAAAAATCTGTAAATTGATCTCCCATCATATATAAACTCGTTTTTGGACAGAAAACAACATCCATTATAAATGATTTCTGTTTGTATTTAAGAACAGTAATCCAACATGGTGTACTTGGTCACACTTTGATACAAAATCGCGACTTGACATTTCATCTGATGATACTGCTAGTGGACTTTGTCCCCAAGGTTTGCCATAACCTGTATGTCACGTTTTAATTCATTCCAATTGTGGCACGGTTCTGAATATACACATGAACATGAAGTTGTTGTAAAATTATAAAATGGAAGGTGGTGTTTCAAGGTTTTAAGGTTTTTTCATCCTTTGAGACCACTCACCGATGCAGTTTCATTCCATTGGAAATTATTAAGCATACAGATAGCTTTATCGTTTACCCTAACCCTGCCCAAAGGTGGTAACTTCACCATTTGTACAAAGTGTTGAATTTTTACTTTGATGTGTATCACTTCAATGACTTGTGCAATGAAAGTTGACATAGGAGACCTGTTATACTCTAAACCTTCAAGTACACGTGTGTCTGCCCTAACATTTAACAACTCTAGCACACATACATGTAATGCCGATATGTCCTTGAATGACTATATCTGTTGATCATTATTAGGACGTTAAATACAATATATCATATGACTGATAGTTACTATACAAATCTTCTAACAATATATACCCCATAAACTCGACCATATTGCCAAAGCGCAAAACACTTCTGACATCACAAGCTGTGGTGTCCTTAGTCATCATGTATTTGTTAAAATCATCTCGTAGAGAAAGATCTTAACCTAAGGTTGAAACCTGCACTGAGAAATGTTGACTTCCCAGCTACCTTCCAGATCAAAGGAAATCATCACTGATCTTTTGGAGAAATCATGTATGCTATCAATGCAGGAGCCTCCTATTACTCTGCGTATCTCCTCTCTGGATGATGCAGATGGTAATGCCTGCACTGGGCGGACAAGAACATATTCTTAAAATTCTTTCATTTTGTTCATCCTCTATTGTCAGTGATATTTACACTCCACACCACGAGGATGCACTACTGTTGTCCTTGCTAAAAAAAAGAAGATGGCATATCACGGAAACAGTGTTCAACTAATTTTAATGTGTCAATTTCCATGGTATATCAAAAACATTTCATTTCATACTAAAAGCATTAGATATAACCATTGTTATTTAGATGCGATCATCTTACAAGAGAAAATATAATGAAGCACAGTACTGTGTTCTCAGAAGCATCTCCTGGCCACGGGACAACTATCATACTTGCCGGTATATATAACGTTATACTTAAGAGTTTTGATTACAAGCCCTAATTTCCTACTGTGGTCAGAAGAAGCGGGACTATTTGAAAATCATGAAGATATCCTTGCCTAATGATCATGTTCTTGGCACAGTAGGATCTTGTGCTGGAAGCAGTAATAAGCAAATATTACAAAAGCCATCATGGATAGACTCTCCTGGCTGGAGAAAGATGATGTCATTTTTGATCAAGGGTTTAGGGATGTTTTGCCAGATTTGGAATCACATGGTTTGACAACAAATATGCCAACTTGTAAAATACTTGGGCACACTCAACGTGACGACCTACAAGCTAACCTCGATATCAAGGATGGTTCAAGCAATGGCTTTTTTTCAAATAACAACTCGCCTCCAACTATTCCATTGATGTCATAGAGGCATTCGTTAGACTAGTAACAGCCTGTCTTGACCGAATCTGTGGACCCATATATGTTAGAACACGAGCAAAACGCAAAGGATAGGCCGCTGAATGCCAAAATAAAAGCGTGTCTTAGTGTTCACAACAACTTAGCTCAGCATGTGAAAATTGAGCCAGATCTTACCAAAAGGTCCAAGTCACTATTTGTCAAACTAGACGCTACTGCGGATAATTGTGACTTTCCAAAGTTAGACATGGAATATCTTCAGATGATATCCTGTGGCAGCTGGCTATATAAGTGAGCACCTCAGTGATGATGGTGACTATGAGATCTTGGTCTATTGTACTCAGGAGACATTGTACAATGTCAGTATCCTGTACTATTTAGGATACTACATGCATTTAGAAACCAGTAGGCCTTTGCATCCAAACATCAAAAAGTTTAAGAGAAACCTCAAGTAATGTAGATTTCACTATCAATTGTCATCTTCAAGGCATTAGATATAGTTGATTGGACAATTAGAAATACATTACTGTATGATATAGATTGACACTGACATGGCTGATCATATTGGATTCCAGATTAGGATGTGGTTTGATGTGTAAACAAATTTAAATCCATCATTTAACATTCTTGTTAGAATATTGATTCAGCAGCTGTAAGGACATTTTTGTGGTTATCTGGGAACATGACAGCCATTTTGAAAGTTGAAAATTCCCGTAAGTGTGTTATTAGTGTATTGATGACAGTTCCTTTGTACTAAGAAACCAAATGCAAACAGTTCAGTTCACTTTACAATACAAAACAAATTATTCCCTTTGCTTGTCTTTCCTTAAAAAAATACATAGCACTATTGTCAATCAATTTTTAACTACATTTTCTTTACACAAAGCACCTTATTACTATTTTTGTGTGATTTATTTTATACAGTTTGAAGATGTTTTTTAGCACAAAGTTATGAATGAACTCAAATAGGAAGTTGTATCTTATACCATTAGAAAATTTCACTTAATGTAAAAAGAACATATCTTCTCTCAAAATCCATTATATTTACATCTCCTGTTCCCAATGTGTTCAAAACTGTGACTTCTGACATATATGACATCTAACATGTTATTATCAGCATGTTTATGTTTAGTCTCCTTTTTAAAAAAAGAAAGAAATTATATTATAGCATTTTCCCCCAAAACCATTTCCTTTTTTTTTTTTTTTTGGTTTTCGCACAAAAAAGGCCCTACATTCTTGCGCATGTACATGGACTTAAATGCCTATTTGTAAACATATAACTACAGAGGCTACCAACAGTACATACCAGCTGTTGTATTTGCTTCTTAGGCTATTTTGAAACCTTTATTTCATTATGGGTCTAGTATACTTCCCTGTCAACATTGTGACTGTCTTTCAATCACTTTGCTAGTCATTTCCTTCAAAGAAGTTTTGGGTCAAGTTTGAGTGCAATTAGCCATACAGAAGTTGAAATACTGCAAGAAACCTGACAGACTGACTGACAACCTGATTACTATAGTTTGTATACAGCAGTAATATCAATACTCTGACAATGGCAGCATTAGCTGTAAGACAAATGTTGTATACAGCAGTAATATCAATACTCTGACAATGGCAGCATTAGCTGTAAGACAAATGTTGTATACAGCAGTAATATCAATACTCTGACAATGGCAGCATTAGCTGTAAGACAAATGTTGTATACAGCAGTAATATCAATACTCTGACAATGGCAGCATTAGCTGTAAGACAAATGTTGTATACAGCAGTAATATCAATACTCTGACAATGGCAGCATTAGCTGTAAGACAAATGTTGTATACAGCAGTAATATCAATACTCTGACAATGGCAGCATTAGCTGTAAGACAAATGTTGTATACAGCAGTAATATCAATACTCTGACAATGGCAGCATTAGCTGTAAGACAAATGTTGTATACAGCAGTAATATCAATACTCTGACAATGGCAGCATTAGCTGTAAGACAAATGTTGTATACAGCAGTAATATCAGGCAGCATTAGCTGTAAGACAAATGTTGTATACAGCAGTAATATCAATACTCTGACAATGGCAGCATTAGCTGTAAGACAAATGTTGTATACAGCAGTAATATCAATACTCTGACAATGACAATGGTTGTATACAGCAGTAATATCAATACTCTGACAATGGCAGCATTAGCTGTAAGACAAATGTTGTATACAGCAGTAATATCAATACTCTGACAATGGCAGCATTAGCTGTAAGACAAATGTTGTATACAGCAGTAATATCAATACTCTGACAATGGCAGCATTAGCTGTAAGACAAATGTTGTATACAGCAGTAATATCAATACTCTGACAATGGCAGCATTAGCTGTAAGACAAATGTTGTATACAGCAGTAATATCAATACTCTGACAATGGCAGCATTAGCTGTAAGACAAATGTTGTATACAGCAGTAATATCAATACTCTGACAATGGCAGCATTAGCTGTAAGACAAATGTTGTATACAGCAGTAATATCAATACTCTGACAATGGCAGCATTAGCTGTAAGACAAATGTTGTATACAGCAGTAATATCAATACTCTGACAATGGCAGCATTAGCTGTAAGACAAATGTTGTATACAGCAGTAATATCAATACTCTGACAATGGCAGCATTAGCTGTAAGACAAATGTTGTATACAGCAGTAATATCAATACTCTGACAATGGCAGCATTAGCTGTAAGACAAATGTTGTATACAGCAGTAATATCAATACTCTGACAATGGCAGCATTAGCTGTAAGACAAATGTTGTATACAGCAGTAATATCAATACTCTGACAATGGCAGCATTAGCTGTAAGACAAATGTTGTATACAGCAGTAATATCAATACTCTGACAATGGCAGCATTAGCTGTAAGACAAATGTTGTATACAGCAGTAATATCAATACTCTGACAATGGCAGCATTAGCTGTAAGACAAATGTTGTATACAGCAGTAATATCAATACTCTGACAATGGCAGCATTAGCTGTAAGACAAATGTTGTATACAGCAGTAATATCAATACTCTGACAATGGCAGCATTAGCTGTAAGACAAATGTTGTATACAGCAGTAATATCAATACTCTGACAATGGCAGCATTAGCTGTAAGACAAATGTTGTATACAGCAGTAATATCAATACTCTGACAATGGCAGCATTAGCTGTAAGACAAATGTTGTATACAGCAGTAATATCAATACTCTGACAATGGCAGCATTAGCTGTAAGACAAATGTTGTATACAGCAGTAATATCAATACTCTGACAATGGCAGCATTAGCTGTAAGACAAATGTTGTATACAGCAGTAATATCAATACTCTGACAATGGCAGCATTAGCTGTAAGACAAATGTTGTATACAGCAGTAATATCAATACTCTGACAATGGCAGCATTAGCTGTAAGACAAATGTTGTATACAGCAGTAATATCAATACTCTGACAATGGCAGCATTAGCTGTAAGACAAATGTTGTATACAGCAGTAATATCAATACTCTGACAATGGCAGCATTAGCTGTAAGACAAATGTTGTATACAGCAGTAATATCAATACTCTGACAATGGCAGCATTAGCTGTAAGACAAATGTTGTATACAGCAGTAATATCAATACTCTGACAATGGCAGCATTAGCTGTAAGACAAATGTTGTATACAGCAGTAATATCAATACTCTGACAATGGCAGCATTAGCTGTAAGACAAATGTTGTATACAGCAGTAATATCAATACTCTGACAATGGCAGCATTAGCTGTAAGACAAATGTTGTATACAGCAGTAATATCAATACTCTGACAATGGCAGCATTAGCTGTAAGACAAATGTTGTATACAGCAGTAATATCAATACTCTGACAATGGCAGCATTAGCTGTAAGACAAATGTTGTATACAGCAGTAATATCAATACTCTGACAATGGCAGCATTAGCTGTAAGACAAATGTTGTATACAGCAGTAATATCAATACTCTGACAATGGCAGCATTAGCTGTAAGACAAATGTTGTATACAGCAGTAATATCAATACTCTGACAATGGCAGCATTAGCTGTAAGACAAATGTTGTATACAGCAGTAATATCAATACTCTGACAATGGCAGCATTAGCTGTAAGACAAATGTTGTATACAGCAGTAATATCAATACTCTGACAATGGCAGCATTAGCTGTAAGACAAATGTTGTATACAGCAGTAATATCAATACTCTGACAATGGCAGCATTAGCTGTAAGACAAATGTTGTATACAGCAGTAATATCAATACTCTGACAATGGCAGCATTAGCTGTAAGACAAATGTTGTATACAGCAGTAATATCAATACTCTGACAATGGCAGCATTAGCTGTAAGACAAATGTTGTATACAGCAGTAATATCAATACAATGGCAAAATGTTGTATACATCTGACAATGGCAGCATTAGCTGTAAGACAAATGTTGTATACAGCAGTAATATCAATACTCTGACAATGGCAGCATTAGCTGTAAGACAAATGTTGTATACAGCAGTAATATCAATACTCTGACAATGGCAGCATTAGCTGTAAGACAAATGTTGTATACAGCAGTAATATCAATACTCTGACAATGGCAGCATTAGCTGTAAGACAAATGTTGTATACAGCAGTAATATCAATACTCTGACAATGGCAGCATTAGCTGTAAGACAAATGTTGTATACAGCAGTACAGCAGTAATATCAATACTCTGACAATGGCAGCATTAGCTGTAAGACAAATGTTGTATACAGCAGTAATATCAATACTCTGACAATGGCAGCATTAGCTGTAAGACAATTGTTGTATACAGCAGTAATATCAATACTCTGACAATGGCAGCATTAGCTGTAAGACAAATGTTGTATACAGCAGTAATATCAATACTCTGACAATGGCAGCATTAGCTGTAAGACAAATGTTGTATACAGCAGTAATATCAATACTCTGACAATGGCAGCATTAGCTGTAAGACAAATGTTGTATACAGCAGTAATATCAATACTCTGACAATGGCAGCATTAGCTGTAAGACAAATGTTGTATACAGCAGTAATATCAATACTCTGACAATGGCAGCATTAGCTGTAAGACAAATGTTGTATACAGCAGTAATATCAATACTCTGACAATGGCAGCATTAGCTGTAAGACAAATGTTGTATACAGCAGTAATATCAATACTCTGACAATGGCAGCATTAGCTGTAAGACAAATGTTGTATACAGCAGTAATATCAATACTCTGACAATGGCAGCATTAGCTGTAAGACAAATGTTGTATACAATGGCAGCAAATTATGCAATGTAAGACAAATGTTGTATACAGCAAATAATATCAATACTCTGACAATGGCAGCATTAAAATAAGACAAATGTTGTATACAGCAGTACAATACTCTGTAAATGGCAGCATTAGCTCAAATAGTGTGGATCAATACTCTGACAATGGCAGCATTAGCTGTAAATATTCAGTGTACTTGTTACATGTTGGCAGCATTAGCTGCAGCATTATATTACTTAAAATCAGCAAAATAGTTGTACATTGTTGTTAAATGTTGATAAAAATAAATCAATACATCATGACAATGGCAGCATAGCTGTATCACACAATACTGCAATGTCATAACATGTTGTATACAGCAGTAATATTTCAATACTTGTTGTTTCACTTAGCAGTAAGACAAATGTTGTTGATACAAGTAATATCAATACACAATACAGGACAATTCCTGTACATGTTGTTATTTTCTAGTTTTGTTATGTTTTAAGATCAGATAGAATGGAAAAAAGATACCATAAAAACATCATTAAAAATAGACCTGTATCCTGCTTCATAACTTAAGTGAAAATTTCACACTTGTTGTTTCACTTCAGTAAAACCACAAATATTTGAACAATTAAAAATATCTACGGATCAGATAGGGTACTGTAGTGGCATTATTGTGATGTAAAATTTGTATTGTTGATTGCACTGGGTACCCTTTAAACAACCAGGATCATTTAAAGGGAGAAATTCCTTGTGGTGATTGGTATCTACCTCACTGAACAACATAGGAAAGTTCCATCGCATTCCATCCACAGCAGTAAGGCTAAAGCAAGATGTTCACCTGAGGTTACGAAGGCAAACATTCCAACTGAGGTTACAACTGATAAATATGGTATGTATTTACTGGTAACAGTGACTAGAACAAAGTAATGATTATTCATTATAAAAAAACACTGGAAAAATACAGATAGACTGCCCTTACACTGTAAGTCACTAGAGTCGTGTGTATATATAGACACAAAACGGCCGAGTTATAAGGTATAAAAGATAAACATGTACATAAGATAAATGTAACTACATTAAAATGTTTATGTGTAGTTAACAAGCACCACACTCCTGGTACCCAGACTATCAGTTTATCAACTACAACCTCTTCAAGATTTTAATAGCAGAACCCCAACAAAACATCAGACTAATGTAGTGATTATATGTTTGTAGAAAATGATAAAAATCTTCAGGAAGTTACATCAGTGACAACTGGGGCTTATTTTGTGAAATATGAGAAACACCAATAAAATCAATCAACATGACATTTTATAATCAACTTATCGTGTGTTTGACCTTTAAATGTTCTATAGGTACATATCATTGTCCCAACAGAAGACATTCTCAGGTATCAATAAATACATATCAGAACAATATAAACTGGCTCATCTTTATATCTTCTGCAAGTATTTCATATATATATATGAGTTGATGTGATTTTATCTAGGGGTAAGGGGATTTCAATAGTAAAACTTGTAAACAAAGTGATAACTCTTGACAGTACACAGCGAGATTTAGGGATAAATGACAGTCTGGAAATGGAACATGTGTCTTAAAGAGGAACAAGAGGGCTGTGGCCCTTAATGGTCATATGACAAGCGATGAATGGATTGACAAACCACAGAATTTACTGATACTGGTCTGACAAATCTGATGAATTCAAATTTTGAACATTCCTTGACAGTATGAGAAACTCAGAAATGGTAGGTTCTGTTCATGAAAAGTAGTTCCACCAAAAAATAACAACAAATCACAAAATCAAACTGCGAATATTTTCTCGTTGGTGTGAATGAAACTTGAGAAGTAGTTCAGACTATTTGTTCTAGATGAGCTATGTTGGATTTTGGACCAAAGCAAAAAATAAAGATTTGGTCGGAAAATCTCAGGTTCACTCCATGCTTGCTTAATGTCATTGGCACTCCCTGATAATGTTTCAGGCCAAATTTGGTTGAAATCTACCCAAGCATTACAAGGGAGTAGCATTTTGGAGAAAAAAAATTTTGTCCCCTTTTGGAGCCATCCCCCCCCCTTCCCCTAAGTCTCTAGGGTTTGAATCAACTTTCTGTTTTTTAGAAAAGATTCTCCAGTCTCAATAATGTTTTGTACCAAACTTCGTTTAAATCCATTCAAGCTTCAAGGAAGAGAAGTGCTTTTATGCAAAAATATTTACTAATTTTTCCATTTGGGGCCCCGCTCCCAAGTCTCTAGGGGTCAAATCAACTTTCTGAATTTGAGAAAAAATAATATATCATCCACAATATTGTTTCAGTCAAACATTTCGTTGAAATCTACTCTGGCATTAAGAAGCTGTAGTGTTTTGAAGCAAAATATTATCTAGTTTCCACTTTTGGGGCCTCGCCCCTAAGTCCCTAGTAGTCACATCAACTTTCTGAATTAAAAATATAATTTCCCATCCTCAATTGTCTTTTAGACCAAATCTGGTCGAAGTCCATTCCAGCATTAAGGCAGAGTAGCATTTTCAAGCAAAATAATTGACTACTTCCCCTTTTGGCATCCAGCCCCAAAGTCCCTCGGTGTCAATTCAACTTTCCGAATTTAAGAAATCATTCTACACTCTCCATGATGCTTCAGACTAAATCTGGTTGAAATTCATTCAAGCATTAAGAAAAAGAAGCATTTTGATATTGATGAATTTTCCCATTTGGGGCCCCATGGATAGGTCCCTCAGGGATGAATCAAATTAATTTAAGAATTACTTGTCTACCCTAACTAATGATTCAGGCCCAAGCTTGTTGAAATCTACTTTGGCAGAAAGAGTGGTAGGGTTTTAAAGCTAACTACAGCACCTCCCTCTTAGGGGCACTGTCCCTTGACCCTTACGTATCGAATCAAAATTCTGAATTTAACAAACATTTTCTCTCACCCAATTATTCATCAAATTGAATTTGGTTGAAAACTACTAAGGTATGAGAGAGAATAGGATATCAAAGAAAAAGTTAACGCATGACACATGTCCCATGGCTGACTATAGATCATCTTGACCCTTCGGGTCAGATGACCTAAAAATCAAACATTTCAACTTCAACAATTCTCATGATGAAAGAGATAACTCAATAATAACATGGCAAATTCTGAACTGAGCGGAAAGAAACAGCTGATTGAATAATCATCATTGTTACATATGTAGGCTTTGTTGATATCATACTACACAAAATGTTGTTGAATGACAAAAAAAAGCTGGAGATTTCAACATGCACAGTGATTCAGTTCTGCACCTCAACAGGTAAGAACAAAACAATATCTTGTACTTTTTCCAATGAAAATATGCCAATAGGCAATTCTTTTTGAAAGCATGCAGAACAGGGAAAAGCAGGATTCTGCCAAAAATGCTAAAAAAAACCCCATCAGTCATTGAACTGATGATGGCTTTACCAACTGAGATTAAATGGTTTGTATGTGTAATGTATACTCTGTCAGCTCATTGACATTGAACATATCACATAACCAGGGTGAAAAATAAACATTCCAATCTGAAGGAGGTGAAGAGGATAGAACAAGCCTTATGGATAGTCTTGTGTTTTTGTTACTAATACATTGTTAGATTTATATAAATTACTATGTACATATAATAGACAATTTTTTCAGACAAATTTCATACTTAAAACATCGATTTGTATCATTTGTGTATAAATTATTATTCATTTACAATAAGGTGCATTTCTACACAAACAATACATAATTAAGGTCATTATGATCAACACAGTCTACGAAATAGTTATATTATCTACTTAGTAAGATACAAAGGGTAGAGTCAATAATTAATTTAAAGTTCTGGGTTATCTTCACTCCTTGGCTGGATACCCGAAGGTTTCCAACATCCTTAATCATTTTGTGTTATGTAGCTGTACAGTGTATATTCAGCAAGATAATATACAAAAGCTGGGGCGAAATGTAATTACATATCACAAAATTAAATCATTGTATGTTTCATAAATCATGTCTTTGAAGGTTGGGAAAACAATGGAAAAATAAATTCAATAATTATTTTACTTTGTCTGTTGCAAGCCATTGTACTCATTTACAGTTGATTAAAATCAAATACAAAAGATGTAATTCATGAAAATAATTCCTTATCTAAATATAACTGTATTTTCATATTAGCACCAAATGATATATAAACAAAAAGGTATAGAAAATTTTGATGTCCTGTTAGTACATGCACAGAATGTACATACATGTATTTAGCAAAACTTGATCCAGCAAAACCATTTTGGTACTTTAAGTTTTACAAGAAACTGTGTGATTATTCTCAGTGTACAGGTATAAATTTTTTTCTTTCATTTTCTAACCAAAAGAAAAAAAATTATAATTACTGACATTTGACACAAGGTAATTATCCAGTGTTGATAAATTTAAGGAGTCAAAATAACAATAAATGGCATTTTACTTACTTTCACAATATGGAATTTAAACTTATATGAATAATAAAAAGAAATAAAAACAATAATTAATATGAAAATGCTACAATATTTATATGTCAGATTGTCCCATTTTATGGGTAGAGTGATTCAAATGTTTTTGGAAAGGGGAGGCAACCACTAAAAATTTCAACTTAAATCACTTTTCAAATAAGAGCTATTCCAGAAAAGACATCTATCCCACCATGGCATTTCAAATTTTGTTAAGGGGTACCACCCATAGAATTTAATTGACTTTTTGCTCAGAACTGAAGACAGGGAACAAAAAACAGGAACAATAATTTATTTAAGGATTTTGGGATCAGTAGATGTTTTACTGGAACAACACAAATCTTTTAAAAAAGAATATTTTTTCATGAAATACAAGTTGGCTTAAACAGGTTTAAACACAGAAGTACTATATTGCTATACATTGTACCTGTATACTCCATATTTCCTGTCCGTCAAACTTCACCAATCAGTCAATCATTCGATGTATGTGAGTGTCATTGGCATGCGAAGATACATTATCAAGGTCATTCCACCATTTGTACAAGAACTTGTCCACGATTAGTTTAAACCAAGGTGTCAAAAGAGTTCCTGATGAATCAGCTTCCTCTGTTCAAGTAAAAAACAATACTGTATAGCTGGTTATTTCTGTGATGATATTGTCACTACTGTATATCTATAAGTGATCCCGGGGATGATATTGTCACTACTGTATATTTATAAGTGATCCCGGGGATGATATTTTCACTACTGTATATCTATAAGTGATCCCGGGGATGATATTGTCACTACTGTATATTTATAAGTGATCCCGGGGATGATATTTTCACTACTGTATATCTATAAGTGATATGATATTGTCACTACTGTATATCCCGGGGATGATATTTTCACTACTGTATATCTATAAGTGATCCCGGGGATGATATTTTCACTACTGTATATTTATAAGTGATCCCGGGGATGATATTGTCACTACTGTATATTTATAAGTGATCCCGGGGATGATATTTTCACTACTGTATATTTATAAGTGATCCCGGGGATGATATTTTCACTACTCATGATATTGTCTACTGTATATCTGATATTTTCACTACTGTATATCCCGGGGATGATATTTTCACTACTGTATATTTATAAGTGATCCCGGGATGATATTTTCAATACTGTAAATTTTTAAGTGTTCCCGGGGATGATATTTTCACTACTGTATATTTATAAGTGATCCCGGGGATGATATTGTCACTACTGTATATCTATAAGTGATCCCGGGGATGATATTTTCACTACTGTATATCTATAAGTGATCCCGGGGATGATATTTTCACTACTGTATATCTATAAGTGATCCCGGGGATGATATTTTCACTACTGTATATTTATAAGTGATCCCGGGGATGATATTTTCACTACTGTATATCTATAAGTGATCCCGGGGATGATATTTTCACTACTGTATATTTATAAGTGATCCCGGGGATATTTATATGATATTTTCACTACTGTATATCTATAAGTGATCCCGGGGATGATATTTTCACTACTGTATATCTATAAGTGATCCCGGGGATGATATTTTCACTCACTGTAGTATTTATAAGTGATCCCGGGGATGATAATTTCCCGGGGATGATATTTTCACTACTGTATATTTATAAGTGATCCCGGGGATGATATTTTCACTACTGTATATTTATAAGTGATCCCGGGGATGATATTTTCACTACTGTATATCTATAAGTGATCCCGGGGATGATATTTTCACTACTGTATATCTATAAGTGATCCCGGGGATGATATTTTCACTACTGTATATCTATAAGTGATCCCGGGGATGATATTTTCACTACTGTATATCTATAAGTGATCCCGGGGATGATATTTTCACTACTGTATATCTATAAGTGATCCCGGGGATGATATTTTCACTACTGTATATTTATAAGTGATCCCGGGGATGATATTTTCACTACTGTATATCTATAAGTGATCCCGGGGATGATATTTTCACTACTGTATATTTATAAGTGATCCCGGGGATGATATTTTCACTATTTCACTGTATATTTATAAGTGATCCCTGGGATGATATTTTCACTACTGTATATTTATAAGTGATCCCGGGGATGATATTTTCACTACTGTATATTTATAAGTGATCCCAGGGATATTTTCATATTTTCACTACTGTATATTTATAAGTGATCCCGGGGATGATATTGTCACTACTGTATATCTATAAGTGATCCCGGGGATGATATTTTCACTACTGTATATTTATAAGTGATCCCGGGGATGATATTTTCACTACTGTATATTTATAAGTGATCCCGGGGATGATATTTTCACTACTGTATATCTATAAGTGATCCCAGGGATGATATTTTCACTACTGTATATTTATAAGTGATCCCGGGGATGATATTTTCACTACTGTATATCTATAAGTGATCCCGGGGATGATATTTTCACTACTGTATATCTATAAGTGATCCCGGGGATGATATTTTCACTACTGTATATTTATAAGTGATCCCGGGGATGATATTTTCACTACTGTATATTTATAAGTGATCCCGGGGATGATATTTTCACTACTGTATATCTATAAGTGATCCCGAGGATGATATTTTCACTACTGTATATCTATAAGTGTGATCCCGGGGATGATATTTTCACTACTGTATATTTATAAGTGATCCCGGGGATGATATTTTCACTACTGTATATTTATAAGTGATCTCGGGGATGATATTTTCACTACTGTATATTTATAAGTGATCCCAGGGATGATATTTTCACTACTGTATATCTATAAGTGATCCCGGGGATGATATTTTCACTACTGTATATCTATAAGTGATCCCGGGGATGATATTTTCACTACTGTATATTTATAAGTGATCCCGGGGATGATATTTTCACTACTGTATATCTATAAGTGATCCCGGGGATGATATTTTCACTACTGTATATCTATAAGTGATCCCGGGGATGATATTTTCACTACTGTATATCTATAAGTGATCCCGGGGATGATATTTTACACTATAAGTGATGTGATTTCACTGTATATCTATAAGTGATCCCGGGGATGATATTTTCACTACTGTATATCTATAAGTGATCCCGGGGATGATATTTTCACTACTGTATATCTATAAGTGATCCCGGGGATGATATTTTCACTACTGTATATCTATAAGTGATCCCGGGGATGATATTTTCACTACTGTATATCTATAAGTGATCCCGGGGATGATATTTTCACTACTGTATATCTATAAGTGATCCCGGGGATGATATTTTCACTACTGTATATCTATAAGTGATCCCGGGGATGATATTTTCACTACTGTATATTTATAAGTGATCCCGGGGATGATATTTTCACTACTGTATATCTATAAGTGATCCCGGGGATGATATTTTCACTACTGTATATCTATAAGTGATCCCGGGGATGATATTTTCACTACTGTATATTTATAAGTGATCCCGGGGATGATATTTTCACTACTGTATATTTATAAGTGATCCCGGGGATGATATTTTCACTACTGTATATTTATAAGTGATCCCGGGGATGATATTTTCACTACTGTATATTTATAAGTGATCCCGGGGATGATATTTTCACTACTGTATATTTATAAGTGATCCCGGGGATGATATTTTCACTGTCACTGTATATTAATAAGTGATCCCGGGGATGATATTTTCACTGTCACTGTATATTTATAAGTGATCCCGGGGATGATATTTTCACTACTGTATATTTATAAGTGATCCCGGGGATGATATTTTCACTACTGTATATTTATAAGTGATCCTTGGGATGATATTTTCACTATTTCACTCTATATTTATAAGTAAATTACCAACTATACAATAGGAGGGGTGTGGGATGTGCATCTTTCACATAACTGTTCTGTCATATCATAATGCCAAGTCATAAATATGTGTATTTTGTGATGTATAAAGGAATAAGTTAAGAAATTGTGACATCACATGATTTTCTTTACAATGAAGAATGTCAAATCAGCTGGTCTTATTGGGAAATTGATTTGAAAGTTTTCCCTTAATTTCCAGAAATATGAGTTATATGATAAACTGGATCTTAAAGTTATATCATTGTGATATGGAATTGATTGAACTTAACTACAGGCTAATGGCATATCATTTGATGAATTCCTATTACATTGACACACACAACAAAAAATGAATCTGCCAAAATCAATAGAAAAGTATCAGGTAACTTTAGATTGTAAGCCATATCACTTAAAAAAAACTAAAAACTTTCCACAAAATTTAATTACAGGTACATTAATCCCCAAGATGAAGTGTTCACAAAAAATATTTTCTTCAATTCAGCTACATGAAAATATGCGAGAAGATTTAGACTTCATACTACAGGAAAATTATTGACTGATCAAAATCAAAAACTCTAACTACATACATGTAATAAAGGCTTCAATCATTTCCTGCATCAATTGAAAATAATGTGATCTTGCTGTCTTCATGAAAATATAGCTGAAACTCAGCTCCAAATATATACAGAGGAAAGGGAAAACCAAGGAATGAAGGGAGGTATCTCCTTACTGACCGACAAGTTTCTGAAGCTCTTCCTTGGTAACATATTTACACATTTTCACTTCATCAGGATTCGGGAGCAATTCAACATCCTTCTGCACTATCAGAACATAATCAATCTCGTGTTCTCCCCACACACCATCAACTGGTATATTTCCTGACTTATAATGGATCCTTGTGAGAAAGTGAAATTCTGACAGGTCAATCTGAAAAACGTAATTGATCATGTATTCAAACTTTAAAAGTTTATTTCCAGGAACAAATAATTGATGGGATTAAAATTTCACAAAAAAGAAACAACAAGAAAACAATAGCTTAAAACTTTCTATACATGAGAGATGTAACTTATTCACATGGTCTATTACATTTCCATCAAATCTGGTCATTAAACATCCTCGATACACCAGGGCTTACATTTACTTTTGCTCTCTGCACCCCTGGAACATGTCATGGCAAACATTGAAGGCACAAGCAAAGTAATGTGATTTGTTCCAAGATAAAAAAAAAGGCCAATCAGAGACTCCTTTGGAAGATTACATATGAACAACACCAAAGACCCTACAATAAACAGATATATGACCTGGAGATTCATTCGATGTACATCAAAGGATCAAACTAGTCTTTTAATCTCGTCCACAAGGTGTGCATGGATCTTTCAATTTAGTCAGAATATAATCCTGGGGTGCAGAGACCCATAGTGATCAAAACCCCTTGACCTTGAGTATCAAGGATGGTTATTAAATTAACTGTCACTTTAGTCCACTGAAAAAAGTTCTTCTTTATTCTAAAATCTCCATATTTTCCCATCCAAATTAAGAAGCCTTAGTTTGTACCTGATGCTGTTGTATCCCCAGTTCTTGGTGGAGGCGTCTCTGAGCTGATTTCTTAACTCCTCGAGCATTCTTCTCCTCTAACTCTTCTGCTGTGTATAACGGATGGCTGCAGCATGTGTTAGTTAAATGATCTGTATAACAAATTTAAACATCGTTCGTTGTTATCCTTACATGTACTTGACATGTAAAATACATGCGATGATGACTCCACATCCAGAAACATGCTTAATTGGACAGAATAGCCATAAGCATTCTGTGTTATTTCATACCAGTTTCAGTGAAGGACACAGAATATTTCTTTCAGCTTCAACAAGCTCAACAACCTTGAAAATTTCTTAAAACGGTAAGAATTTCATAATTTTCTTATTTGAGGAAACCAAAGCCAAGGGAACTTTAGAATGCTTTGCTACTATACTAGTAAGAGAAAAAAAATGCTGCAAATATGTTTTCTGGAGGCGGTAACAGCGCAGTCAGTTAAACTGTGATACATGGTTTCAAGCTACCAATTAACAGCGGCTTGTGCTTCATGGGAAGCTATGAAACCAGCCGGTCTGTATTGATGTGGTTGTGTCCTTTTGCTTACTTTACCCTAATTATGTCTAGATATTTGCAGTAAGCCTATCAGAAAAAACACATAACCAATCAATTTACAGTACAGAGCTGGTATTATGATTCGGCAATTTCACTAAAACTGTATTACATGTGATAGGATTTAACTTACCAGGGATACAATATTGTTTGATAAATATATGGTATATGTTTTGTAGAACGTGTAACTTACTTGATATATAGGGTACATGTTTTGTAGAACGTGTAACTTACTTGATATATAGGGTACGTGTTTTGTAGAACGTGTAACTTACGTGATATATAGGGTACGTGTTTTGTAGAATGTGTAACTTACTTGATATATAGGGTACATGTTTTGTAGAACGTGTAACTTACTTGATATATAGGGTACATGTTTTGTAGAATGTGTAACTTACTTGATATATAGGGTGCATGTTTTGTAGAATGTGTAACTTACTTGATATATAGGGTACGTGTTTTGTAGAACGTGTAACTTACGTGATATATAGGGTGCGTGTTTTGTAGAATGTGTAACTTACTTGATATATAGGGTACGTGTTTTGTAGAACGTGTAACTTACATGATATATAGGGTGCCTGTTTTGTAGAATGTGTAACTTACTTGATATATAGGGTACATGTTTTGTAGAATGTGTAACTTACTTGATATATAGGGTACATGTTTTGTAGAACGTGTAACTTACTTGATATATAGGGTACGTGTTTTGTAGAACGTGTGACTTACGTGATATATAGGGTGCATGTTTTGTAGAATGTGTAACTTACTTGATATATAGGGTACATGTTTTGTAGAACGTGTAACTTACATGATATATAGGGTGCCTGTTTTGTAGAATGTGTAACTTACTTGATATATAGGGTACGTGTTTTGTAGAACGTGTAACTTACGTGATATATAGGGTGCATGTTTTGTAGAATGTGTAACTTACTTGATATATAGGGTACATGTTTTGTAGAATGTGTAACTTACTTGATATATAGGGTATGTGTTTTGTAGAACGTGTAACTTACGTGATATATAGGGTGCATGTTTTGTAGAATGTGTAACTTACTTGATATATAGGGTACGTGTTTTGTAGAACGTGTAACTTACTTGATATATAGGGTACGTGTTTTGTAGAACGTGTAACTTACGTGATATATAGGGTGCATGTTTTGTAGAATGTGTAACTTACTTGATATATAGGGTACATGTTTTGTAGAACGTGTAACTTACATGATATATAGGGTGCCTGTTTTGTAGAATGTGTAACTTACTTGATATATAGGGTACGTGTTTTGTAGAACGTGTAACTTACGTGATATATAGGGTGCATGTTTTGTAGAATGTGTAACTTACTTGATATATAGGGTACATGTTTTGTAGAATGTGTAACTTACTTGATATATAGGGTATGTGTTTTGTAGAATGTGTAACTTACGTGATATATAGGGTGCATGTTTTGTAGAATGTGTAACTTACTTGATATATAGGGTACGTGTTTTGTAGAATGTGTAACTTACTTGATATATAGGGTACATGTTTTGTAGAACGTGTAACTTACTTGATATATAGGGTACGTGTTTTGTAGAACGTGTAACTTACTTGATATATAGGGTACATGTTTTGTAGAACGTGTAACTTACTTGATATATAGGGTACATGTTTTGTAGAATGTGTAACTTACTTGATATATAGGGTGCATGTTTTGTAGAATGTGTAACTTACTTGATATATAGGGTACGTGTTTTGTAGAACGTGTAACTTACGTGATATATAGGGTGCGTGTTTTGTAGAATGTGTAACTTACTTGATATATAGGGTACGTGTTTTGTAGAACGTGTAACTTACATGATATATAGGGTGCCTGTTTTGTAGAATGTGTAACTTACTTGATATATAGGGTACATGTTTTGTAGAATGTGTAACTTACTTGATATATAGGGTACATGTTTTGTAGAACGTGTAACTTACTTGATATATAGGGTACGTGTTTTGTAGAACGTGTAACTTACGTGATATATAGGGTGCGTGTTTTGTAGAATGTGTAACTTACTTGATATATAGGGTACATGTTTTGTAGAACGTGTAACTTACATGATATATAGGGTGCCTGTTTTGTAGAATGTGTAACTTACTTGATATATAGGGTACGTGTTTTGTAGAACGTGTAACTTACGTGATATATAGGGTGCATGTTTTGTAGAATGTGTAACTTACTTGATATATAGGGTACATGTTTTGTAGAATGTGTAACTTACTTGATATATAGGGTATGTGTTTTGTAGAACGTGTAACTTACGTGATATATAGGGTATGTTTTGTAGAATGTGTAACTTACTTGATATATAGGGTACATGTTTTGTAGAACGTGTAACTTACTTGATATATAGGGTACATGTTTTGTAGAACGTGTAACTTACTTGATATATAGGGTACGTGTTTTGTAGAACGTGTAACTTACTTGATATATAGGGTACATGTTTTGTAGAACGTGTAACTTACTTGATATATAGGGTACATGTTTTGTAGAACGTGTAACTTACTTGGGTAAGTAATTTTCTTTTCAGATCTCTGTTGTAGCAGGAGCTGGCCATCAGTATTAAAGAGAAAGACACTGAATGCTCTGTGGAGCATCCCTGTAATATCAAACAATTATTTGTATGATTGTATGATCTACACTGGTGCTTCATCAGATGGATCTTTTCCACACTTTTCTCTGAATTACAACAGTAGACACTGTTCTTACAGAATTAATCATAAAGAAACATAAAGAAACATGAGAAACCTTCACATTGCCACAGAATTTCTGCTCACTGGTACCAGTGAAATTGGAGAAGTTTATTCTAAAAAAAATTCCAAAATGGTCGTCATGGCAGCCATATTGGATTTCAGACCAACCTAAAGAGTAACAACACTTGGTCAGGACTATCTCATAACCATTTCAAGCAAGTTGGTTCAGGAAAACTATGATTGTTTGTTCATGTTACATAATGGCTGCTGTGGCTGCCATGGTGATATTCTGATGAGACTTAAAATTAAAAACATTCTTTTAGCTTCTTTACTTTAACATCCTATCAAATTCAGCTTAAAGACAATATGGAATTTAGGAAACTTGAAATGTGTTTTGCAAGATGGTAGGCCATGACAACCACTTTTTTATTTTGGAACCTCTCTGAAGAGTCAGAACACAATCTCATGATCCTCATGACAAGGTCCAAATCAATCCCCACAAGTGAAACTAGATAAAAAAGTTTACAATGTAAAAAAGTTTATCTATACCAACATTCGGATCAAAGAACCTGAAAACAAGAAACTTGCATCCTTCAGGGCCATACTTTAAGTTTCATTAAGATACAATCCAGAGAGATATTTTTAATTAGAAAATGTTTGTAAACCATTGACTATATGGCTTTTATGCCTCGTCAGTCCCTTTCATGGACACTTAATTGGAAAGGTGTCTTCTCCATTTCATTGTGTTTCTATTTGTAAGAATTACTCAAGTTGTTTTTCTGCAATTCTCTTCAAATATTGAACTCACCTTATTCCTCTTCAAGTAATACATAATTCAGACTTACCTGTGTTAATATTTTTTAAAAGATGGCAGTCCTTTTTTGAAGCACATCCTGTAATTTTATCATCCTTGTCCACCAGAATGCATTTCTCCTGCATCAGCCTACCTTGTATATTGTCCAGCCCTTTAAGTAATGGGTCATTCTCTATGTTTACTGGGATCTCACTTTTAATGGTCCTGTCAAGTACAAATTATTAATTATAACACTGTACTAATCAATGTCCTTGTACTAATACTATATCTCTATACACTAATACTATATCCCTATATACTTCTACTATATCTACGTATTACTACTACATTGTATATCCCTCGTACTACTTTATATCACTTCTCTATCACATCCCCAAACATTATTTTCCTGTATCATTATATCACTCTATTAGTATACTCCCATGCTACTACAGGTATATCTCTGTGAAGCAGGTAAGACCAACTTCCGTACATGATATTAGCACATTTATTCCAAAATACTCCAGGGGACCAAAACAGCAAATTTCTTAGTATTCTAACAAGGAATAGGCTTGTTGCCAGATTAAAGTAGTTGTGGACATTACATTGTATATTAGTGTTGGGAATCTGGGTATATGCAGCAAAACATCTGTCAGTCCATGATGATGATGATAATGATGATGATGATGATGATGATGATGATGATGATGATGATTTAATACATCTCCATGATTAATTATCAGCTGTTCTACCACAGACATTTTGCATTACATCACATACAGCTGTGGTTCTACGTTCATGTATTTTGATCAAACTTGCAATGTTTTATATTTGCTTTTCTTACCTGGACATAAAATGCTGAGTTATCAGTATCTTTGCAAACGATCGCTTGCAGTATGTGTTCCTTAATCCTGATACGAGACAGCAAGTCATCTTGTTCCATTCCAAACCGAAAGTAACCGGATGTAGTTCATTATAGTCTGTTTCCAATTTAATCTAAAGAAACTGTTCTTGTTGAAATTTGTATTTTTCTTACTCTGTTTCCTTTCAAAATAAATATTTTAAAATATTTAACAACATAAATATCATATCTATGCAACATCACACCAAAAGTACATCACCATAAAATATAAAATAGGCTATAACTAAGGGACGCAACTGCTAGCGTTCAATTCAAGATGGCGGCCGAACTCGAACGAGCTGTGGCCCTCCGTACCACAAACAAGAATATGGCGATTGATATACTAAATAGTATTGGTGAGTATTGATTTGCTTGAGTAATAAGGCGAATTAAGCACGTAGTTGACGTTGATAAAGTCGGCACTTATGTTGTAAATGAAAACAACTTTTAAAGAAAATCAAGCTTTCTCAAATTCGCTGAATCACATGCCGGTAAGAGTGGTTTAGGTGAATATAAAACATTACTATGATTTTATCGCCTGTATTGTTTATGTACACCACTTAGTCAATTTTATATCCGTAAACAAACGTACTAGTGATATACTTCATTTTTCTGTTGTTGAATGGCAGAGTGACCAGGGGCCCATTATTTACCATTAGTTCTAGATTGAATTATAACTAAACAAAAGAAGAATATGACATATGAAAAAATACATAAAGCCAGCCTGCGGGCGCGATTCTTGTAAGTGTCTTCTCTGTCTGCTACGGCAGACGTGAAAATCCTTTTAAAGAATGATTTACTTGCTACCAGAGTTTGACCATCAGACTTTTCTAAAAAGGTTACAGAATGCATGGCTTAAAATAAATTACTTGTGATTGAATTGAGAGGATTTTTAATCTTTGCTGAGAGCTCAAAGATGTCTCTTGTGATATGACAGAGACAAAATAAGTGTGAATATTCTCGGCCCTGAGGGAGACACTCAAAACTCATTTCGTTTCTTGACTGATATTTCAAAACCTGCTTATTTTACACATAACATGTATACCAATAATATGAGTCACGCATAGCTTGGAAAGAGTTCATTGACACTATGACATTCTGTTGAAAGTATTAAGAAAAATAAAACACAGAAGTTTGGTTAACTAGTTAGTGCTACAAGAAACAAGAAAGTTTGGCATGCTACAGCTAATGATTGATTGCACAATTTTTGTGAAATTAAAATTTTGTGTGGTTATATTTTGTGACATCATAATACTGATTGATGTTGTGGAGGTATAAAGAGGTTTCATTTTGTGCCAATTTCATCTTTATTAAAATCATTTTTATGTTAAATAGAAGTTTAAAGTAAGGTAAACGAATTTAGGAAAGCAAAAATTTTAGATACTTTCATTAACATTAGTTTCAGTTAGTACAGAGTAGTTGAATCGGTTGAAATTTCCTGATCGATCATCAACTTTGTGTAGCCGATCAATGATCGATTAAGATCGATTAATTCTTAATTGTCTGTTTTGGATATTATTCAAGTCTAAATATGTATTTTGTGTAATGTTTTAACAGCAATTCAGGTAATTACTAAAACTGTTGTACATACACCATCTTTCTGTGTGCTTGTTATTTTCTTATTGCACAGAATACTTTTTAATAAAAACAAATGTTGTTTTATTTTCTTAATAATTTTACTAATGTTGAAAATAATTTCAATATTTAAATACTTTATTTTCATACATCACGATGATTGATTACAGATTCTTTACTCGATTAATTGATCAAACATCTCAAACAAGTGATACTCGATTAATCAGAACAAGACTAGTACAGAGCACCTTTGCTCCATATCTTTCCAGGAGAATTTTTCTCTGTTGGTCACTTAGATTGATTCCTGTTGTATAGACAAAATGTTAACAGTAGCAGCACTTCACTGGGGTAGCAAAAGGCCCTAAAGAACTTTGCTGTTATAAACAGGAGTGTTATACGCTTAGCTATCAACAGGTTAGGAATCCTTGGATTTGTTAGGATGCACTGGCACCCCCCATCATTCCCTCACATTACAGACATCGAGGATAAATATAGAAATATTGGTTTATAGACTTCTAGTTCACCATTGAAATTATGTTTTTGACCCCTCAATATTAATTGAGCTTTCAAATTTAAATCCTTATTTTTAGAAGGCATACATATATAAACATGATATCAGGTAAGAATTCATCATGCTTACATGACATTTCAAGCAAAAACATTTTGTTATTAATAGATGAACAGCTAGCTATAAATAGTGTATTAGAAACCATGTCCAACTTCAGTGTCAGTGATTTTTATTGTCCCTGAAAAAAAGAAGAAAAAGACACATGGTTAAACATTTTATGATCATTGTCATGTTTATGATTTATGATTATGTATTTAAAAAAGACTTTTGAATGTATATTAATAAATAATGGTCAATGGAAAACAAAGACTATCATGTACTGTATTTATCCTGAAATAAGCCCCCTCCCCTTGTGTCAAATTTCAGTATCAAAATTTGGGGGAATGCATCTTTGTGAACTACATTTAGCTTACACTTTGAAAATTGTTGGTTCTGTACAAATGAAGAAGGGGCTTAATTGTGGGCTGGAACTTTTTATTTGTGGGTTGGGGTTTATTTCTAGATAGATATCTAACTGAACAGCACTGAATCTCATTTATGAATTTCACGCTCCAGACAGGCATGGCTTTTTTACATGTCCACTTGAGACAAATATCACCTAATTAATTGATAACTGATTGTAGTACCAAATTATTAATAGCAATTAACCTAGTTTTGGCATTTCTGATGCCCCCCAGTTGCTTTTGATCTGTTCTGGTTGCAAATAAATGATACAATCTTGCAATTTTTGTACAACCAGAAGATAAATTAACACTATGTATTTTACATGAAATGTTATCACATAACCATTTCTATTACAGTAAAAAGAGACATGGACACCAATAGTGATGAAGTACTCCGGATAAAAGAGCAGGCCATTCTTGAGCTTGGATCTTTGTTAGCTGAAACTAAGCAAGCTGAAGGTAATGAAATAAAATCATGAAACAACAATTCTGTACATTTCTCAGGTCACTGTGTAATCTACTTTGTATAATATCAGTCAGAAGTAATTTACAATTGGTTTGGAGGACCTACCTAACGACTATTTAGAGTGTAATTGATGTCTGTCATGGTTTTTCAGAACTTGCGGGGTTGGTCAAATTCACACGACCATTCCTTGTCCTTGTAAGCAAAGCAAAGGCAGCGAAGTTAGTACGAGGACTGGTTGACTTGTTCCTGGACATGGAAGCTGGAACAGGGAAGGAGGTAATGTAAATTTTTGTATCATAACAGATTCACTTATCAGTAACTTTATCATGGATGTTTGGAGCCTTGGTGTATACTGTAGTGGCAAAATTTTATGCATGTCACTAAACTCTGAGTACAGAATATTATAAACACAATTAAACTATATAATGATAAACATGGTTTTATATAATTGGTCGACACTGACAGCAGAAGCAGACTACATTGAAATATTGTAACATTGGGGTTTGTGTAACCCACCTCAAATTTATAACAACAGGCTGATAATGATGGACCTCCTGAACCATGACTTGAACAGATATGTTTACTATTCAACAGGTTGAATTATGTAAAGAATGTATAAACTGGGCGAAAGAGGAGAAAAGAACTTTTCTACGACAGGCATTGGAGGTAAGACTGACTACATAAGGCTTTACCTTCTCTTTAAGACAGGGTATAGATTCTGTTCCCAATGTTTATGTGTAATGGAAAGCTGTTGTGTAACCATGTGTAAAAAAAATGATGAATTCTTGCAAATCCATACAATCATTTTCAGTTTCGTGTAAAAAAAGATGATTTTTTAAAATAAATATGAGTTTTGTTTTTGTGTAGGAAATGTTGTTGAGTTTCACATGTTTAATTCATCAGATATCAGTAAATTTTAAATTTTTGTTTGTTCTATTAGCTTGTAAGGTATTGCTGTTGTTTTTCCAGTCTAGACTGATATCATTGTACATCGACACCAAAGCTTATCAAGAGGCATTACTTTTGGGTATGTGATTTACTAAGACTTCTGTTGTAATATCAACTTTATTTATTGTACAACAATTGTGTAACAAGCTTTAAGCTTATATTAACCACTCTTGATGGCCTGGATGGAAGTGCACAAGGGGTCTTACAGGGGGAAGAAACCAGAGTATAGGGGGTGGGGGAACCCATGTGGTTGAACAAGTGACCTCATACCTTTTCTCTGCACCAGGAATTGAACCTATGATGCCTAGGCGAAAGGCGAGTGTTACCACTGGGCCACCCAGCCATTTATCATCTGTGTGATGTGACCACCAGTGTATAAGGGATGATGATTGCTTTGATTCACAGGCCTTTTGATGGTTATATAGGATACATACCAAGAAATAACAATGTAAAGTCTCAGGGTCCAACTAAATTCAGTGTTTGGCTAAACACTGGGTAAAGATGAATTAAGTATTTAGCTAAACACAGGGTCAAGCTAAATTAGCTCAGAGTCAGACTGAATTAAAGGTTTGACTAAGCTTTGGTTCAGACTAAACTCAGATTAATTGAAACTCTAGACCTGACGATGACATATCCACAACACATATAAATCAAAGTTGGGTACAATAACGAGAGGTAATTCTGGAACCTTTGGATTAACAACATTATTGTGTTGTATGCATTGCATCATTTAATGGTAAAATGTCTCCTGTTTTTTCCTTACAGCATCCCAGTTACTACGGGAGCTAAAGAAACTGGACGACAAAGCTTTATTGGTGGAGGTCCAGTTGTTGGAGAGTCGAACGTATCATTCTCTGTCAAATCTTCCAAAAGCCAGGTAATACTTGTTAGCATTTTACTGTGGATTGGATGTGCTTTAGCAGAAATTCTATATGTAACCTTCGACTTCTTTACAGTGGCCCTAACTTTACACACAACAAATGTTGAAACCACACTGCAAGTAAATCAGTAGTAGTAAGCAGCATCATAACCTTTATTTGAAATAAATCTCTTAGAATTTGACCTATATGCAACACTGCAACTACAAATACCTGCAAGAAGACCAAACCTCAAAGTAACCCTGACTGTTCACACTGTGATAAATCTGGTAATCTTAACAAGTTTGGAAACTGTAAATTTAAATAGTTACAAGTGCAACATACTTTATATTTAGGCATTGTTTTTTATCAATGTGATGTATTAAGACAGCTTTTTTTCTTTACTTTTTTTAATTCAGTCTTATAGTTTAACTTTTAAACAACCAAATTACCTGCACTTCGATTGTGTTACAAATAACAAATATATGAATAATGAACAGGCATTGTAAATGAGACATGTAAATCTCATGCACTACGCTGCAGTGCTTGAATTTTTATGTTTTGTCCATTTTTTCTGTAAGCTTACTTGCATGTTAATTGTTAAATGATATGTTAGTTTTTCCAATTGTCTGTCTGTGACATACATATAATTTATAAGGGAAGCAATTCAGACAAGGATTGGGAACTGAAAATGGTTGATACAATGGACTAGATAATGACTGTATCACCTGTACACATGTTTAGGTTGATGTATCTATATCTCAGAATGACATTTTATAACATGTTTGTCTCAACATGTATATACGTATCTGCACTCAAATGAGATAAATTAATATTGAACTCATACAGGTACTAGGTTTTCTTATCTGTTTTGCTTATAATACACAAACTTGATGTATTTATATTTTTAAATAAAACCTTTTTAAAAATGCACATGATTGTATAAATTTGTTGACTCACTTTAATCAAACTGAATCCAAGAATTTCATGGGCATGATTTTGTAGAATTTTTTCAAAATAAACTTTACCAATGTTTGTCTTCAGAGCTGCCTTGACATCAGGAAGAACAACTGCCAATGGAATTTACTGTCCACCAAAGCTCCAGGCTGCCCTTGACATGCAGTCAGGTAAGAGCTACTGTAACTACATACTTCTGGAAAGGGAAAAAGGAGATAGGTGTTTTAAAAATCTTTTGCATTTTTTCTGAGAAAACATTTATCGAAACTAAAAGTCTTACCTTGAGAATTATAAACCTATAGTTGAGTCTTATTGTTAAATCTAGTCCTTATTGTATAAACCAGTCATTCTTTTCTTCGAACACCCCACCAATGTCTAGGAAAAGTGTTCTGATCTGGTCTTCTAGCAGTATTGTGGTGTTCACTTAGAATGGTTGATTCCATGATTAGATCATTGTTGATGAAAAAAACTTAACTTCATCAAAATTTTGCTATAAAGTATTTTAGGTGTAAATTCTGCTATGTTTGTACAAATGTATAAATGTTTTCTCCACTTAGGTTTTTTTTTTATAGTTGATGATGAATGAGATGTTTGCAATATTCAAGATGTTGATGACAATTTGAATTGGTTTTGTATTTGAGGGATTAATCTCCTCACAGCAGTCCGGGCCATATGAGGACTGGGGCAAAATCTTAAAATCTCTTTGAAACCAGTATACTGTTACCTGTATGTATGTACACATATGATGTTGAAATGCCCTGCAGAGAGCACTGTATAAATATTTGTTATTTCAGGTATACTACATGCTGCCGATGAGAAAGATTTCAAAACTGCCTACTCCTATTTCTATGAAGCATTTGAAGGTTATGACTCTATCGACAGTCCTAAAGCTGTTGTAGCTCTCAAATACATGCTGATGTGCAAGATCATGCTGAACACGTAAGCTCTGAAATGGATCTATTCTTTAACTTGATTGAGTTTGAGAAATTTTCGCAGTCAGAACTACTTTTAGGAAAAAGAAAAAAATTGAAGTTAGTTTGTAATGAATGATTCAAAGATGTAAGGTAACAACATTTGTATGTCTTAATATTGATAATTAGGAAGCAAAACAAATATTTTCTTTGTTGAATAAAGAAAAAGTTATTACTTGGGTATGTTAATACATTTCTATATACAATTAACATAAATTTTATACATTCGGTCAGATGGCTACTTTTTGAGATTCTTATGTATATTCAAGGTCTTTCAATCAGAGAAAGATTGTTTTTGATATTTTTAAGATTTGTTGTTTGAAATATGTTTAGTTCCTTTGAAGAAATTGAGAAGAATTTGGAATTCAGTTTTCATTCTTGTGGCTTGGAATACGATAAGAAATATGATACTAGCAGAGAATACAATTACAACAATAATCTATTTACAACTGCAGGGCTGATGAGGTGCAGGCCATTGTTAGTGGAAAACTAGCACTAAAGTACAGTGGTCCAGAGGTCGAGGCAATGAAGAGTATAGCTACTGCCAGTCACAAACGCTCTCTTGCAGAGTTCCAGAAAGTATGTATCAATGGCTGAGATGCCTTATTAAATAAATATATTGGCAATACCATGATGGAACATGGTCTCCAGAAACAGGGAAAATTGGCACAAGGTATATGTTGTCACTTTTTTAGTGAGTGATTGAGTTTGATTATTGATTTCATGTTCTTGACTGGTAAAATATATTGTTAATGAAATTTTAGAAAATACACTGGTTGTATCTCTGTGTAGTTTCTGGTTGACTTGTTGTCGGGGGTGGGCTTATTACAGGACCATGAAATCAAAATTTATTTTCAATTTTACTGAACAGTAAATATGTATGTATAGCTTATTACCAGATTCATGTTTATTTTCTGATAACAGCACTTGATATAATGTCTTTGTGATATCTTAGTGAATTGGTCTCATGATCCTGTCTTAGATTCATAATACTTTAAATCAAATTGATAAAGCCCTTTTTAAATGGAAGCTGTAGCCTTGTGTGAAACAAAAACCACTTGAATATCAGATATTTATTCATCTAGTTCATGGATAGTCTAAAAGAGCTTGCTTTTACATCTGCTGTATTTAAATGTTTAAATAAAATGAAATTGTTGATTACCTATTTCACTTTTCTATGAATTTGCTGTCTGTTTTAGACATTGGGAACATTCAAACCACAGCTGGAAGATGATCCAATTGTAAATGCTCATCTGAAGACTCTTTATGACAACCTCCTAGAACAGAATCTCTGTAGAATAATAGAACCATTCTCTAAAGTACAGGTAAGAAACACGAAACAGAGGAAGGGAATTTTGGTTTCAATTAATGTGGTTTGCAAGGTTTGGTATCTGAAACTAAAGGGTTTCAATTTTATATGGATGGTTTTTTTTTTTCGCTCCTGTAATTTGTACTTAGATTAAAAACTTACTTGTACTTTAGGATAATTTTGATAGAATAATACAAAATGGGAGCAATATCTATTGATAAATCACAGCAAATCTCACATGCTTGTCGTCAGTCGTGATTATGTAGTATAAAGGGAAGGGAGATTATTCAATTGTAAGGCATATATCTCAAATGGACTTATTTTAAAAGATTAAATAATAGGTACAGTATTTGGTGTGTATTCTATATGTTGTACAATGGTATTATTGTTTTTGTCCAGGTTCAACATGTTGCTAATTTAATCAAGTTACCGATGGTGAGTATAAATTATATACTGAATATAATCGGCATCATATGTTTGATAGCTTTGAAACTAATTAAGATTTTTGTAAAATTGATAAACTTATTCTATATCGTACTGCTGTCATCAAATTGACTATTTGGTTTGAAATATGTTTTGAGGAGTTTCCAATTCAAAACTAGTACAACTTGTATACAAATAGTAGTTTGAATGTACACTTCCAACCAAGACATTGAGGCAACAAAACTGAAAGAAAGTATTTTTCCTAGGGTGAAAAGAGAAATTGTATTTCTGGATATAAGATTTATCTATTTGAAAGAAAAACCTTGTACATTATGTATTGGCTTTTATGGTTTATCTCACCGTATACATTATATATACAATCATGATACACTGTAATAATTGATAATCATAAACTGCCCTAGAGTAAGGACTAGAAATGGCAATATCTAGCTTGGGAGGGGTACTTGCCCCATTTTATCTGATAATTTCAGAAGAATGTTAAGTACACATTTATCCTGAACTGTGCTTTTAGTCGAATTAATTAAAACATGGCATACAGGTTATGATATAATACAAAATATATATTTTGTTGCTAAAGAATTCCATTTGTTTTTTTCTTCAGGACACAATAGAGAAGAAACTATCACAAATGATCCTTGATAAAAAATTTCATGGTAAGATCAGTATTGACTCATTGTAAACACATTGTTTGTAGATATGTTATAAAATTCTAAAAATATCTTTCTTTGTGTAATGAGCGGTGATTTATTTTTGAGTCCAGGGGTCAAGACAATATTTTACTGGAGAAGCCCTGACATGGATTGTCAAATAAGAAACAATACTTAACATAGAATTTGAAGTTGTATCATGTTGTGACCAAGGCCAATGAGCTCAGTGTAAGATTACATTTGTTAAGATATTCAAGTAAACTGTCTGAAATCTATTTTGTTGGATTAAAACATTGTCATACTTTCATGATATGCCCAAGGAAATTTATATTTCTGTAAATGCACTCTCAGGTAAATCTTATTTGCCAGAATGAATCATTGGAGTCTTTGTTACTCATTCATGTCTAGTACATCTTGTAACTTCATCATTCACAACTTGTTTACATTAATTCTGTGACTGCTTCACTTTTCTTAAACACAAATAAGACAGGACACTAACATTTTGTTTTTTATTGGCTGTGTAGGTATTTTGGACCAAGGTGCAGGAGTACTAGTAGTGTTTGATGAGACACCAGTGGACAAGACATACGAGACGTCACTGGAAACGATACAGAATATGGGCAAAGTGGTTGATGCCCTGTATAACAAGGCCAAGAAGCTCACTTAGTAGTGGACATTGTTTTAGTGGGCAATGTTTTAGTTTACTTTGTTTCTATGACATGTCCAACATTCTGTGAAATTTTACAGATTCTTGTGTACTGCATGGATCTGTTCGGCTTCTGAATTGTATTTACTGACATAGAATCTGTACTGTGTTAGTGAAAGTTTATCACATTCTGATAGAGAGTCAGCCATAGAGGCATTTATCTGGGTCAACGGTCATTTTTTTCATTTGGCAGTAATACGAGGAAATTAATTTGTTTTTAAATTAAATACACTGTAAAACCTACCTGCTTAGAAATACTTATAGATGAACTATTTTTGTGATATTGATTCCACATGAACTTGTCAGTGGAAATGCCCTATATGTTTGTATTGCACAAAATATTACTTTTGTATAACAATGAGTAAAACATGGATTAACATCAATTTTGATAAAGAGGATCCAGTGTTTCTTAAATTATTGATTTCTGCAAATAGTTGATGCTGTAATGTCTGTACAAAACCTCATTCTAGATGTGTAACACTATACAGATATACATTTCTGATACCTATACAGTGCTTCTAGTAATGACATTATAGATAAGGTAAAATATTTATTTTAGGGGATAATTCCCTCACTTTTATATGTACTTATATAGTACTGGCCATTTGGTGGCTTGTTCCTTAGATGATGGTTGAGGAAAAGATGAAATGGGACAAAAGAAGGGCTTTTCACATTTTTATATAAGTGAAGAATATAGAAGTTTGCATACTTTTGCCTTAAGCTAATGAGTCCAATGAAAATTTGTTGGCAAATTAAGATAAATTCTTTTGTGAAAATTAAGTTTGTTTTACAGTACATATGTGTCTGCAGATCTTTTCACCAATATCGCTCTTGCCCATGAAATCAAATATTTAACAAACATTGAATTTAATTGTTTTAAAGCCAAGATATTAAGACTGTAGATGAATTATACTTACAAAACATTTTCAATCTTTTCCATCAAAAAGGACATTAGGGCATACTGATGTCAGAAAAGTTTGTAGGATAGAGAAAAGTTCGGCCTCAGTGTAAATCATTGAAGCTAATGAATTTTTTTCCATCTGTGTACGATTTTGATTGAATGTTCAATGACTTTTAGGGGGATGTAACAAAGATATATGTTCTACATGTCAAATCCGCGTCAGCTTTTTAGGGACATGTAACAAAGATATTCATTCTACATGTCAAATCCGTGTCAGCTCTTTGCAAATTTTCATGAAAAGGAACTATTTTCAGTGTATGAGTGAGTCTGCATGAATGTGAAATTAAAATGATTTGTCCTTTTGCAAGAGTTCAAGAATTGAAAGTATGTATAAGTACTAGATTGAAGTTTGAGTGCTAGACTGACTTTTTCATGAAAATGACTTTCACATGTATCAATGTCATTGAATGTAAAAAAGGTTGACAATAACATTGACATGTATAGAAAAATAAAAATATAGGAATTTCCACTTTTATTGTTGATTTTTAACCAACCATGATCAGATGAGAACCTGTCAAATCTACATTGTCTGCACATAGGTCAGTCCTTTGATAATTATTGATTTGTCTGATTCTGGACAATGGTCAGTTGTTGTGACCGTTGATAATTATTGATTTGTCTGATTCTGGACAATGGTCAGTTGTTGTGACCGTTGATAATTATTGATTTGTCTGATTCTGGACAATGGTCAGTTGTTGTGACCTTTGATAATTATTGATTTGTCTGATTCTGGACGATGGTCAGTGTTGTGACCGTTTATTGATGATGATGAGAAGGCTCCATTGAGCAATCATGGTTCCCTGAACATCTATTTAAAATTCTCATGTTCCACTTGTTGTGGGGATTGAGCTGAAACTTGTCAGAAATGATCCTGAGATGGTCCTGACTAAGTGTTTATATATATGTGACAGATGAGGTGAGTTGGAAATTTCATTGTAAAACATTTTTGAATACCACCTGCAACAAGATATGACCTTTTAACAGCGAATAATGGCAATTTGCTTATAGGAGAATGAAACAGTAAATTCACATCAGGCTTACTATTAAGAAAGCCACGTTTGTTACATTGCAGATACAGCAAATACCATGGAAGATACGACACTTCACTTTAATTGTTACCTGTTAATTAGATCATTAGTACATGAATCTAATCACGTTATACACACTCTAGTGCACCTTATATATATATATTATGGACCGTGCTGTGACCTCGTGTTGTATCTTTCGGCAAGACAGTTTACCCTGGTTACTTAAAATGGTACGCGATGGACCTGCAGCACGTGTTCAGCAAGACAGCTACAGAACTATTAGGACATTTCTCCTCAAAATGATCTAGGGTGTTTCAGAGCGATAAACAAAAGATATAAAGATGATCGATTCGACAAATTCATTCCTAGTATTTACATAGTGAATCTCGGATCAGATTATCAGAGGTTCTACATGGTAATAAATTGTTTTCCTTTGAAGTGGATCATAGTGAAACGGGAATTTAAAATTTAAAAAAAATATAACATTTTGAACGTGTTCTGATACAGATTAAACAGGTGATAGTGGGAGTACTGTGTTGTGTTGACTACAGAACACTGCATTCTGTCTGGTTATCGTCTTCCATAAAAATACACGACGTGTGTAGGGATACATACAATATGTAACAAACTCCTGTAGATTCTGTTAAGATCCTTACCCGTGGTGGATTTTATTTTTCATAAAGCTGGAGAATTGTCTGTGCTGTCGTGGTTATGACCTTGAACAAGACACTTATCTTTAACTGTTCTGGATGTCATGCGACGCACCTCCTGTATGCTGTTCAGTGAAGTAGCCACCAGCTACTACAAGGTGACCTGACCTCGAAATAAACCTGTCTGTTGAAGGGACCATGAAACCAATTGCTAAATAAATTTTGTCGATTTGTTAATTTATTAACCAAACTTTAATTATTTTCATTTGCATTGTGTTGTTGAATTGACCGATAATTGTACTTGTCCAGAAATAGATCTGCTAGCATTTGTCTGAGGATCAGACCAGACAACTGATTATATAGATATAGACACTGTTATGAAATTGTTACGGGAGAGATTAGTAGACATTAATCAAGATACTGATCAAAGGGGTAAATGTAGATAAATCTAAAACGTCATCCACGAAACAAACATGTGTATGTTCGTTCTAGATTCTATATCTATGACAATGAAAAATACTCCGAAATGGCAAAACAATCAAAATTAAGCAAAAATCCAAACGGGGTACACGTACAAGTGTGGGCCTGTGAGTGAATTCTGTAGAAAATGGTGACCTGTGTACCCTTGTGAAGACTATACACTATCGCTACACTCTGTAGCCCCAGAAAGGTGTATTTACAAGTAGTGTAAGCATTTCAACAAACGCATACTTTATTTTCTATGGATTTCATCATGTACAAGTGTGTTCAGTTGAGCTAATGTCATCTAAATACAGGTCTCCAGCATATATCAGTATTCTCCTCCCCACCCCGCCCCCTTTAACTCAACTTAAATGCCAAACATATCATAAACAGCATTGATTAATAAACAAATATTCTACCTTATATGTGTGTGAAAATATACTGCTATCTGCGGAAGAGCTGAGGAAGTTGGGAAACTATACAGAAACCTTTGGCTGGTATTTCCTCATGTCGTCCCTAGCTATTTAGCCCTGGTTTTGATTGGTCGATTTACTTTGTGTTGTCCGAAGTTGTATTGAGTAAGTAAATAGTAGGAGTTGTGTACCCCCAGTGTTGTGTATATCTGTTATGTCTGAAGATCGAGAATGAAAGGGTCAATGCATAACGTTTGTGTTTGTATTTCTTTCCCTATCTAAATCCAGATAGTGTGATTTTTTGTTCCATGATATAAACTATACAATGAGCTGAAGACCGATAGTAGAAGACGTTGAAAGAAGAAGGACCAACGTCATGAATGAATGTCTTTCAATAGATTGTGGTTCGAATAAAATTTAACTAAAATTGACAACTCACCATATCAGACGAAATTCTATCTGACGCGTAACATTGTAAAATTATCTATTAGCCCCTTCATCCCGATTCACGAGGAACGTGAAAAATCTCCTTTCTACAGATGGTATATAGGTTTCCCTAGTAAATTGATTTGTCACTAAACTTATTACAAAACGCCAGGTAGGTGCGTTTGCGGTAAAGGTTTAATGCATTGAAAGAGAAGAACGCTGAGACAGGCTCTCCCAGACTACATTATTGTAACATTCAGATATAATGAGTGTGGGAGATATCCCAATGAATACTTACCTCTATATGCGTGTCCTGACAGGGTACTTAACTCTTTCGGTCTAAAGTTGATACAATTATGTATAATGTTTATCTACTCTGGTCCTACGCGATGTAGTGTGGTTGGTAATTTGGAAACAATGCCTGATGATTTCTAATCTACAAATCAATTTATAACTTATGGTTTCAATACATTTTCTGATTATGCACCTGTACATTTGTATAAGTTGTAATCTTAACAACAGTGAACAGAACACACATGATTTACACACGTATTAAGATTTATTTATATTATGTTATATTTTGCTGGAACCCAAATAATGCTGAAGAAAGTATTCAGATGGTTAATGATAATAATGTTTAACGATATTATAAATAACGGCGTGGACGAGAACGATTTATCCACAAAAAATTGGTATCGAGAACTGTTTTACCTCAGTTGTGGATACTGCGAAATCCCTCATACAACTATACAATGTAATAGGGAGAGTAATGCAGCCCCTCCTAGGGCGGTGGGGGTGTGTGTGTGGGGGCGGGGGGGGGGTGTGGTAGGGAGTAGCCCTAACAAGTCATGTGACAGGCCATGGTTTAAGCGTTAGACATGTACGAGTACTTTGAAATATTTGATTATTCCTCGTCTCACGAAAACCACGACGCACTTATTTCTAGAAAGAAATTGTACAAGACGACTGAGCGTAAATAAAAACGATCATATTTGTAAGCTCAAGTTAATATGACGGATTTTTTTAGAGTTAGCAACCCGAAACTATTTTATAAAATCTTTTAAAAAATAGACCGTAAAATCAAATGCAATTTTTTATAATTACTTTAAGAACTTTGTCGGTGAAAGTGGTAATACTGACAGAAATTTTGTCTGTTATGATGAAGTGATATTTGATGAGCTCACTGAAATTGAATCGACAACCAAAAAACTTAACACAGAGAAGTCACTGATTGGACCAGTTTCTAAATCAAATTTTTATTGAGGCTAAACAATTGTTACTTCCCTTGCTACACAAAATGTTCAATGTTGTGTTTAGAGTAGAATACATCTCTAAAGCATTGTCTGAGGCTTTAACTGTGTCCATTAAAAAAAAAAATAGGCGACACCAATGACCGCAGTCACAATAATGAATTTTAGCCTTTACAAGATTGAGTAAATGGGAAGATAAGAACAATATATTACCGGGTGCACAGTTTGGTTTCCGTTCAGGCTTGTGAATAGTCGACGCAATACTTCATAAATACATGTATATCATCACAGGACTTAAAATGATTCTTAAATGGTCAATTGCTTGAAAATGTAGATAGGGTTTACTACCTTCACTTGCTTCTACACTTTAACGGTAATTTTAACTCATCGCTTACACAAATATCCTCCCTGAGTAAGTTATTCGCACTGAAACAGACCTGTATACCTATATATTTAAACTCCTCCACATTATCAAGTCTATTTGACACGTATGTAAGAAGTGCTGCTAGATACAGTAACGAAGTATGGGGATTTCTACTGCCATCGTCTTAGTGAAGATATAATTAGATTTTAATAAAGATGTTCTTGGAGTTACACAGTCCACACCTGATGCTATGGTATATTTGGAGCTTGAGAGTCCCGTTTTCTCTTTTTAGTAAATTAAGAAATTTAAGTATTGATTTAAGTTAACCTCTACTAATAATTGCATTTTAAAAGGAAGTTACGAGTACTTGTGCAACCAATGTGGGACTAACCCGAATTGTAAACAAACTGGGTTGTGAAAGTCGAACGCCTGCATTAGGCAGGATGTGTTTTTGGGTCTCCCGTCAATTCATAAATGTATTTGTTTTTTAAACATTGTAAAACAATGTTTGATGAACATTTTCAAGCTAGAGCGTGAATTGGTTTTTGCTTCGTCTTTTAAATGTGTTATATACTAACACGTTGTAGATCATTTAGCATTGCAAACTTATTTTTCTAAACTTAATTCTATTAATCATAAAATTGCTATTGTAAAAATACGCCTATCTTCGTCTTCTTATCGTATCGGGCAGGCAAACGAACATTCTTGGTTAACTACCTAATTTGACTGTATGTCGTGATATTGAAGACTTTTGTATAACGATCTGAAATCCGAAAATTGTTGGGAGGCGGTTGCTTGCTATTAATTTTCACAATAATCCCGAGACTTTTTTAACTGTTGGAAGAAAGCACGTTAGATGTTGAAGGCGCTGAATGGTGAAATGGTGTTTTAGTGCGAGAAGAAATGAAGACGTTGAATGATCAAATGAAGTGTTGCTGTTCATACTGTTATTGCAACGTGATGTAGTTGTAGTACAGGTCTTTGCGTACAAAATGGACGGCATTGTTGGTTTGTAAACGTTTGAGTTTTACAATGGGTGTGGTGCTTCAGGTTTGTAACTGTGTAAATTTAATTTCTGTTTCAATGTCATTGTTGAAATGATTGCAATGTGTTCAAAACGAAAAGTTATTGAACCTTGCTCATATATGTAAATATTTGTATGTCATATTCAGATGATACTGAAGTATTAGATATTTAATATAATTCACAAAATGTTGGTCTCATGTACATGTCCCAGCTGTATATTGATAGAGTCGTTTAATGTGCAGAAGAGGGTTATAAGTTGTCAAACATTTAATTAGTCTTGAAATGGAAAATTGTGGGAATGAGATAAGAAAATTGCTATTAAAAATACAAAATGCACAACAGAAAAAGGATTGACAATTTTTTTCTTTCTATCTGTAATAAACATGGATGATGTTTTTCCTTCAGTAGATACTTGTTTAATCACCCTAATCCATGTTATAACAAGGACTATATAGCACAGGGGAAGTAATCTTTACACAAACTTCACGAGTGGAAATGAAGATCGGGATTACTTCTTCATATTGTATGAATAACTGTTAACAAAAGGTTTGATACAGAAATCCGTCGTCGTTGGATAAAATCCCGACGCCCGGGATGAAAAGCCATGCTATTTTCAGGTTTCGTGTAACCATAAATATCATGAAACTGATTAACTATAGTTGTAGTGAACCAAGGCATTTTGTCTAACATGTCCAAGTACCAGATACGCATTACATAACGCCAGAACTGAAACCACAGCTGAATACTTCAGGATTCAAGCCCATCAAATGTTTGCCAATAAATTTGAGGTCAATCTTTAGCAGGGATGATAAACTGAATAAGAAATCACGTTGGACATATATTTGTGTTGCAGGATCGTGCACGAGAAGTTTGAATCCATACGCTTGACCCGGATGTAAATGGTGGATGACTATTTTGTTTTTCGGGTGTTGATCTTGGCCAGATGGGATAGAAAGTTGTATATGAGACTTTGGGACTTTATTAATTCTAATGTTACATGATTAACTCTGGTCTTGGTCCTTGATGACAGGTATAAGAATGTTTTTGTTTCTCAGAACCAAGCTTTTAACCGATTTTCATTAAAACTGGCAAGGTTGTTATAAAAAGAAATATACGGAGGACGAAATCCTAAAAATGATAGAGTTTCTGGTTGACAACATCTTCGTCGAGTTCGGTGGTAAGATCTGCCAACAGACTATTGGAATACCAATGTTTTCATACGAGGCCGGATTTACTGCAGAGCTTATCAAAACAGGTCACTAAGACCTTGCAAAGTCATTTAATTTCACGTTCTAATATATTGAAGACGATATTTGGATTTAAGTTGAGATTGTATCATAGAAGTTTTTAGATCAATACTCGTATAATTTTAAACGTCCTCTTAACACCAAGGGTCATAAGGGGCGAAACGTCAAGAGAGAAAAACAGAACACAGAAAATATCAATATTTTAATGAATTGCAACGAAGTTAGTCATATTTGATATATTTCATATCCTCTATACGATAAAAACGATGATTTAGTGGGGTAACTTTTAAAGCCAACCAAAAGATCATACAGTGTAATGCAACACACCTTATCCTATATCCTCCGATACCCATAGGGCGACACCGGAGAAACAATCCCAGCAAAGGGATGCCCCACAATAAATCGCCTTTTACGACATACATTGAGATACAGACACAATCTTTCCTCGCTTCTTTAAGGTTCCGGTTCTGTGGAAGTACCCCAACGTCGGGACTGATCACTTTTTGTGGTTTCCTTGCATTTACACCGTTTGTTTGTGTTTAGTGTGACTACGGCAGCTGATGCGTTTCTTTTTACTCAATCGATAACTGTAAGGATAAATTATCGACGAATATTAAACATGCTGCTAAAAGAGCAACAGAGCATGCGATGTGTGATGACCTGATACATCACTTGGAATAAAATACATGAACACTGAGGAAAATTTAGTAAGGCCAATCGCTACATCCCCTGACAGTTCACGTGAATGGATGTAGATTAATACTTCAAGAAGCCACACTAGACTACTTCTTACTTAATACGGAGACATGCCATTGGGACTAATGGAAAGGTCTAACGCATATACTTTTGTACAAGTAGCCGTTTTCTTTTTAAGCTTTTTTTCCTCACCGAGCTTTGTACGTTCATCAACTTACTACGACACCAAATTCCTTCTCCACGACCTGTTGGACGAAAATACCTACGATAAAAGAGTGAGACCAGTTAAAGACCAAAATGAAGCAATGGATGTGCAGGTCGATCTCTTTCTCATGGGTGTCATAAACATTGATGAAGTACAGGGATCGATGACAACAACCGTTTTCCTTGACATCAGGTGGGAAGATGGACTTCTCAAATGGACAGAATCTATGTACAACGGTACGAAACACATTTACATACCCCAGTCTGATATCTGGAAACCTGATATTGCTGTTAATAACGGATTTACAAAGCGTAAGGAACTGGGGGACCCGTTTACACTCGTTACAGTGCAAAGTTATGGTACAGTAAGTTGGCAACCATTTGAAATACTCGAAACAAAATGCTCCATTAACATAAGATTCTTTCCATTCGATAAACAGGTTTGTAACCTCGAATTTGGAGTCTGGACAAGCAACGTTAATGAAATTGGAGTAATAGTTGGCTCAAAAGGCATACGGATGGACACTTATCAGGGAAATGGAGAATGGGATGTTTTGAAAACTGCAGTTCTAGGCTCTGGGTCAAATGTCTTTAACACTGAAGTCAAGTTTTCAATTACACTACAGAGAAAGCCTGGGTACATCATGGTTAACGTTGTATTGCCGATTCTATTGTTGTCGATTCTGTCTACTTGTACTTTCCTTCTCCCGGTAGACAGTGGCGAGAAGATGAGTTTCTCTGTTACACTCTATCTTTCTTTCGCCGTTTTTCTCACAATAGTGGGTTCATCACTTCCGGAAACTTCAACAATGTCATTACTGTCGATGTATCTTGTCGTACTTTCAAGTATCGGAACGGCTGTTATCATAATTACATCCATTCAAATACGTCTGCACTACAGAGACAGTTCTTTTGAAATACCGTGGTGTGTGAGAGGTCTTGTGAGAATCAGCAGGCAGTTGCATTGCAGGAGATCGTTACTAAGAATTCAAAGAAGTAACCAAATTGACGAAATACACATTCAAAATGAAAGTACTGATACTCAGGAAAATGTGCCGAAGACAGATATTGTAACAGATGGTTCTGAGATATCTCCTATGTCAGATAGGCCTGGCTCGAAGCAAGGACTTGCAAATGACGATATCACGTGGCCGGATGTGACGTCAGCGATTGACTTCTACGGTTTCTGGATATTTTCCATAGCGATTATCATGTGTACGGTTTTGTTGTTTACAAATGGATACATCCAGGCAAATTTTGATCCATGATAAAGTACTGAGAATGAGACCTCGGAGTAGTACATGTATCGATAGGCCAATCTACAGTGTAATTTCAAAACAAAATTGAAGAATGAGGAATTTTTGGACAGCTTGTCCGTCATCTTTTGAGCTGTGTTATACCAACTTACACTAAACAAGGTGATGGAACGCTTATAAAACATTGCGATTGATTCCTCCTTTGTGAAATAAGTTGCAAGGAAAGATCATTAATGAAAAAACGTTTTGGAATTATATTCAACATGTACAAAAGAATAACAGCAAAAACTCTCAACAATAGTGAATCTTCGCAACCATTTCCCTGATCAATCTGTGCTAAACAAGGGTAAAATTTCCCTCCTTTCTTCTATATGTTTTTGTTTTAATCATTTACAGTGTAAGTTAAAAGAGAATGGTCTTGAACTAAACTTGCGCATGAAACTGTTCGTATTGTTTGCTGACGACACTACTTCATCAGCTGTTTTCCCTGATGACTTGAGGAATGAACTGGATATACGTGATAGTGCAATGAATTCAAACTTTGAAGCTTACCTATGCTTGCACGTGACACTGTTAATATTGATGTAATTGTTGTATTGTAGTAATTGTTGTATTGAAGTAATTGTTGTATTGTATTAATTGTTATATTGTAGTAACTGATGATGGTTTTGTTTAACTTCCTGAATCTGACATACTGAAGGAATAGTAATATTAAATAGCTGAAATGTGCAATGAATTCTAACCTTGCAAGATCAACTAAACATGGTTGTAAAACTGTCCGTATGGTTTGCTGGTTATCTTACTATCTAAATCTCTATTTTTAACATCTACTGAACAAGGTAGAAATTTAGAGTTAACATCGAGAAAAGGTAGACAATTTCAAATCACACGAAGTGGTAACGCTGTAGAAGTCGTTAAGTGGTAGCAACATCTCGATGATGGGTAACAGGCATTATAAAAATATACACATCTATTAGATAATGAATGAATACAGTGATAAACACTAAATTTTTAGTGGTAATAGTATCACTCAATGATCATGACGAGAATCAGTCTGAAAGTCGACTTGCACGGAAGGCAGCAAAGGCAAATTGTCCATACATATTCACCCTCCTTTGCTGAATCCATACAGATAACAAGCAGATAGAAACCTGATACAGCGATGTATGAACGGGATATTTACTTAGAAAAGAAGACTGGTATCGTTAATGAATATCGGAATTAACTCAAGAATGAAAGCATTTGTAACTGCATCTAGCTCATAACAATCATTTAGAGATGTTCGAGTGTTACGAAGAATACGATCACTCAGGTCAGAAAGAGAAGTCAAAAAGGAATTGTCTTTGGATAATGAAAAGAGGACGATGAAGAAAGAAGTGAGAACAATCTTCAACCGGACGATCACAGGTACACACAGGGCTATTTAATCAGTGGAAATTAATCGGCGTTGAAGTTACTAATAGAATTTCTTAACTGATATAAAGTTATTTTAATATTTCTGCCTCAATCAACTTTTAAAAAAGAAGTGCATGGTGTTCGACATTTGCAACGGGTTGAAATAAGACATCTTTTTTATTGCACTAAATGAGACATTGTGGGAAACGGACATGGGTTATTCCATTCTTACATAATTTTTGGTGGAAAAGCTGGTAATATATATTTGAGTTGAACATTAAAAAAAGGTCTGTTATGACGATGAGGATATTTATCGGTGTTGTACTGATGTAAGGTTGAGTAGAATCATGAACACGAACAGGGCACATATTCTTAAAGATCTTAACAAATAAAAGATATTTGATGAAGGTCACGACGTTTCACAAGTGGAAGTAAACCAGATTCTCTATACATGATGTTCTGTTCCCCGTCTCAAGCCGGTAATTATGAGTATTGCCTCAAATTAGACTGACTCTAGGGCTTTACTCTCTCGTTTGATAATATTTGTCTACACTGTATCCGCATATTATAAAATTGGACGAATGAATATAACATAAATTCTTTCAATCGAATTTCTGTCAATTTGATATTTTAGCATTCTAAGTATATTTATTCTTTTGTTAGCTTTTTCATAAATATAACTGACATGATTTGACAAGTTAACGTGGCTGTCGGGAAAAAGACCAAGATAACTTTGACTTCGAAGATTTCTTATAACCAAGTTGTTGAAGTTTTTATGGTTAAATCTGAATATTAAAGATTTATTCGGTAAATGTATGAATGCAATATTGAGAATTATTGCTGTCATTCTCTTAGCCTGTACATAGATTGTCAACTTGACATCTTCGACAACATTGTTACCATACGGTTGCGAAGTGTTGGACTACTCAAACTTGGATTCTATTAAAGGTGAACATAAGAAATATTTTTAATATATATTTGTAAACCTGGTAAAATAATTTGGTGCAATATGTTGAGCCGTGTGTATACACTGTTTAAAAATTCTCACGGAAACCTCCACAATGTAGATGTGGAGTGAGTGTCTGTTAAGTCAATGGTGGTTAGTGTCGTATGTTTTAAGTATATCTAAACAAATATTGTAGGTATATTATTATGTAAATGAATAATTTAATCTAATGAATAATTCAAGAGATAAAAGAATATATATACATACTTTATTCATGCATATTATGGATTGGAAAATTATCATTTTAAAAATGATCAGATATACATGTATGCAGTTTACAAAATTACTGAGTTATGGGGCACTTGCCCACTTAGGTTTCGACATTACTTTTAGTCACTTTGTATTTTTTTATCAGTCGTCTCGTGGGTTTAACTTTTAACCCCTTGGCATCACTGACGAGTCCTGGATGGATGATACAGCTGTATGATGTGGCATCATTGACTAGTCCTGGATGGACGATACAGCTGTATGATGTGGCATCACTGACGAGTCCTGGATGGACGATACAGCTGTGTGATGTGGCATCACTGACGAGTCCTGGATAGACGATACAGCTGTATGATGCAGTAAAACACATTGTTTTGATTTACTGTGTCTTATCTGTAGTATTTAGAGTTATTCACTTGTCTTTTGTACAATCTTTGTATACATTGGATGAGGTAACATAAGTATCAATTAATAAATGGATTTAATTAGAATTGTCAAGAGCTGTAGTTATTTGTCTTGCACTACCATCTATGTTGAATGTGTGAGCTTTTATTGATCATGAATAAATGAAAGAAAACCAGGACTGTTTGATTTGATCTATAAACAACCTCTGATTCATAAGCGCCCATGTAAGGACGCAGACAGAAACCTAAATAGTGACTTTCACCAGCATCGCTGTAACCCCTGTAAAATAGAGAACGAGTTATTTCCTGCAGTGTGTAAATATGGTAAAATACGAACGCTGTTTGAAAACTTCTCTGTAACTCCATCTGCTGAGCGTAGTACTAGTAAGTCTGTGGTCCTAGGTTCAAATCCTATGAAATACATAATGTGTTACATATTTAGTGTACCAAAAAGACATAACGAGGCCGGTATACCGTCTGGAGACGTGATATGCAGTAAACTCGAGGACGATTTATTTCCTGGAGGGGGGAGTATGTAACCTTGTAAACATAGTTACAAACACGATTAAAATAAGAGAAACTTGTCTTTCTTCCCATTGTGTTCGTGTAGCAATGGTAATCGCATGGTACCTGAACCAGAAACAGTGCTCCGGCGTCAAACTAGTCTCGCACAACAATCTCTTGAAAATTTCTCAAGAGATCAAGCTACTAGGTGACCGAGATTATAGTTACCTCCCTTGTATAACCGTCTGTATCTCACTTTTACATGATTGTGTCAGGTTATGGCTCTTTACGAATTTTACGTTCTATTTAATATAGTTTGCAGAATTACGTATATAAAGAATTAAATGTTTTTGACTATATATATATTCTATTACCAGAAATTTTATATTTAACTTTACAGCAGAGCAACATGAACGTCTTAACACAAAAATGGACCAATCAATATTAATACCAGCTTTAGGTTTCCATCAATGCGTCAGGACTCCTACTTTTTAGTTGTTTTGTTTTAAAATGTTTTTATAGATGCAGAATATGTCACAGTACATTATAATGTACATGTTTTATGCCCTGTGTTTCAGTTGGAATCGTATTTCAGTGATTTCAAATTTACATCTGATGATACAATTGTAAAATTGTAGACGACTACCAAACGCCCCAGTCAAAAACCGTTATTGTGATTTTTGTATTTGAATATGTGTATATCAGTTAATTTATTCTGAATGTGACATACTAACACTAGTCTAGAGATGAAAAAAACACAATAACCTGCACACATGTAAATAACAAGCTGAGAATCAGCCACCTGTCCAATCATACCCGTAACAAATACCTGTAAAAATATCTAATTTTGGCGCATTGGGAAGACATCCAATGTGTACACGACACGAGCAGAGAGCGAAGCATTCTACTAAACAAGCCTACAATGTGCACACGATATGGAAAAGTGGGCGGAACTTGCTACTAAACAAGCCTACAATGTGCACACGATATGGAAAAGTGGGCGGAACTTGCATATTCATGTTCCTGCTTTCACGGACCAAACTTTAATTTACCTGGTTATATATTCTATAGCTTCCTAAAGAGGCATTTAATTTTTAAAAAAAGTGTTTTTGTATTATGCGATTTTTTTCTGTTATGCTAGTTTCTCAAATGCTAATAATATATGCAGCTTGTCACCGCGAGGGGACATTTTCTTCGTTATTACACCATAATTAATGTATTCGTCGTTCATAAAGCTGAAAAATTCATAATGTCGTGACTTTCATCTCGACTTTATCGTAGCAGGACATCCTAATATAGATTTATTTATTATCAATACCGATCTTAATCGTTATTGTCATGAATATAATGTTGCACTTTTCGTTATCAGCACGCATTCATTTCATCTCATAACTGTTGATAAGATCAAACTACAAGACTAACCTACGGTAAAATTAAAGAGGGGTTCGACTTCCGGAAAGCAGTAGTCCACTATTGGAGATTGGTAAATTTGGGGC